ATATGGCAGGAGCACCTCTTTGAGTTTCTTTTCGAACAAAATCCATTTCTTTTTTAGATATGTCTTATCACTATTTCACAATTATACAACTATTAAATAATAGACCTTAGTACACTGCACTCTTGCACAATTGAACGTTTTAACGCCAAAACGTGTCAAAATTGTATCTCAGTTGAGAAACGAATATTTTCGCAGAAATATTGGTTTCTCAACTGAGATATTCTCAACTGAGATACTTAATTAAAACATAGATTGTATCTCATTTGAGAATATAATTTGTATCTCAGTTGAGTCCAAACCGATTTTTTTCATAAGAAAAATTCTCTATACTTTCTTCCATGTAAATTGTCAGTCATTTGTGTTTATCTTTAATTAGCGAAGCAGAAATTATAAAAATTAAAAATGATAAGCTTTTTCTTTTTTTTTTCTGCGAATATGGTCTATGATGATAATTAACAATTACTTTATGTAAATTACAGGGAACAACGAGAAAACATTACCTTTATTAATTCACTTTAAATTAATACTATTATATATATATATATATATATATATACACATTGACTCCTAGGAATAATGAGTGCTCTATTAAGTTATTTTTATCCTTCAATTTACATACTTTTTAATTCTGATGAATTTCTTAGAAGAAGTTTTTTTTTTCTTCTTCTTTTCAATTCTAAAAGAGAATAATACAATAATAACATAACAGATAAGATGAAATATCTCATTTTCTTTTCTGTCTTTTTTACTTTCATCCTGCTAATAATAAAACTAATATATATATATATATATATTTTTTTTGTCGTTGGTTAATTTAGTAAAACACTTTTACGGTTAAATTGAATTTAATATAATCAATAGGTAAGGTCTTGTTCGTATATATATTATGTATCGTCTTTATTTTTAGATAAACAAGGTCACAGTATTCCCTAATAATAAATATATGTTAATAATTTTCTTTCAAAAAGATATTTTTAGTTATAAATAGCATTATTTTTATTTTGTTTTAATCTCTCAGAGAACCGATTATATATATATATATATTCATTAGTAGAAAGAACAGTACAGAAGAAGAAAAAAATAATAATATTTTTTATCTATAAAAATTAAATAGTAAAATATTAGCTTAGTTCAACATTTATACATTCTAAGATTCTCATAAAACAATAGTCATAATCATTTAAAAATAAGTAATTGAGTTTGATATCTAAAAAGGATAGAATACAATATCATCATTTCTTTTATCTTTCTTTCATCATGAAGAAAAGGTGCCCGATGAGATTATGGTATTATATGACATTAAGAATTTTATATATAATTTGTACTGGAAGCTATCTATATAAGAATTTTGTTTAGGATCGTATCATAGATACTACACTGTACCTCTCTCTCTTTTTCACACTTTTACAAATGATTAGTCGTCCCTAGAAAAAATAAAAAATTTGTCAAACTATATCTCTGTATATAATTCCAAAAAAAGATTCATATGTGACATTGTTAATTTTTGAAAGTACTTTTTTTCTCTATTGTAGCTTTTCTCCTTTTGTCATATTTTTAAATATTTGTCTTTTTTTCTAGTAGTGCGGTTTACTGTATGCACAAAAAAATTTTAATTTTTTAACCCATAAGAGTTATGCTGTCAAATTTGACAAGTTTAATATTTATCTTCATTTGTTGTTTCTAATCTTAAAGTTATGAAATACTTTTATGTTTATTTTAAATAAAATATAAATGTAAAACTGTTATTTTATCGTTAGAGATAATATATACATATACATATTTCTAATATCTATTGAATGAATTTGAAAACTGAAATCAGTATATTATTTTCATTCTAAAATAACTTCTTTTTATTCACATCTTATTTTATTAAAAATACTGCGTACTCTTCTTTATTTTCTACTAGAGTAAAATAAAATCTATTCAATCTTTATTGACATTATTCTTAATATGTTTCTGTTAGAATAGAAAGGCACAGATTTTGTGACAGCTTGGAAATAAACATATGCAAAACGTAAGAATTCTAAAACGTACTACTCTTTTGCTCTTTTTTTTCTTCTTCTTCTTCTTCTTGAAAAGTATACAACTGTAATACTGACCGATATAATTATCACATAAATAAAAGACATCTTATTGTCATGTTGAATATGCATCTTATCTTAGCAATAAACGTTATGAGTAAAGAAATTATTTTCTCATTAATAATTTAATTTTTAAAATAATTAACGAAAGAAAATCATATATTTTTTTGAGACATTTTTTAAGTGAGATAAAATCTAATTTCACTATGGCAATGAGATATTCAATATAATCATTATTAATAGATGAAATAATGCTAACAACAACAACAACAACAACAACAATAACAGAAACGATAGCACTAGGTCGCCCTTTGATTTGGACGGAAATCTTGTATGAAGATGGATTGGAACGAGAACCACGTTCGGTAGTTCGATGGTTAACCGTTGCTGTGTGTACTATTGGAGTTGTAGGTAATTAGACATTTTACACTACTGTATCAAAGATACGTATAGATATATTCGGTATTTTTTTACAGGTAACATATTGGCTGTATGCACCTTGTTACACCGACGAATGCGTCAATTATCCACTTATACTTATTTAACAGCATTATGCATATCAAATACGTTATCTTCAATGTTTATTATTATTTTTGAACTGGATGTTCTATTTCAACCGAATCGTTTCGTCTGTATTCTAATATCATTTTCATCAGCAATGGCAGTTAGTATGTCGGCATTGTCGACCTGGTAAGTGTTTAAAAATACAATAAAATTTTTTTGTTTAGTTCGTATCGGATTTATCTAGTATGAGCGATAGTCTTCGACAGATTAGATCTCTTTTTATAGATGTGTTAGTTCAAATTTGTTGCAAAACCATAGATCTGTTCGATATATTAGAAGGTTACTAATTTCTGTGTTAGCGGTACTTTGAGGTATTTTCTCTAGTATGATGTTTCGTTACTATCGTTTCATTAAAGTTACAGGACTTCCCGTACAAATCCTCTTTTCTATACCATTTCGAACTCAGACTTCCACAGACTAAAGTCCATCATGTACTGTAAACTAGAAAATAAGTTATAAAAAACGAAAGACGATTTTCTAAGAATCCATATGTACATTCACCGGCGATTTTCTACCTTTCTTGAAAGTATGGTTTTTAAAAAAGTAGAAAACTAAATCTGACTTCCTGTTGTTCTTTAAACTGGAAAATCGCTCTCGACTTCTAGTCGGAAGTATTTTCCAAACATTTACTACTTTATAGAAAATTACTAGCAATTTTCAGTTATTGTCGCACAGGCTGTCCTCTATGACGGGAGCAGTGTGCGATCAAAAATCATATTTTGAGAAAGTCATTGACACATCGAAATATGTGAATTTTCAACGAATATTGCGTGTTCTTTTATACGAATGCAACAGCAAAACCATAAAGGTGAATGGAAAAACGACAAAAAAAAGCAATTTTTATAAATCGCGACTTTTCTGCAAAATCGGTGTTTCATTTTCAACTTGCTAGAAACTTGATTTCTTTGAAATATCATAACACTTTTCCATTTTCTTAGAAATTATTGATTATCCAATTTGTTCTAAATTTATATAGCATATTATAACTGTTTTAAAATGTATAGACTTTTTCTACGTCGAGTAACAGTAGAACAGGTTTTCTGACTGTCAAATCTATAAAAAACGACTGATGCCAATGGTTGAATTTTCTCTTCGTAGCTGCTTGATAATTATTTTTAGTTAAAAGTTCAAAAGAGTTGACTATCGAAACTGGTAGATACGTTGTTTTCTCGTAACAGGAGCCAAATTGTTGTTCATGGCAATAACGTGCCTCACTTGCGCAAACTTATCCATCATGCCGTTAGTTGCGCTCTAAATATACCTTGTTGCTTCGTATCTTGAGAAAAAATAACTTCATTATTGGAATTTATTTCAGAAAATTATTTTAAAAAGCTTCAATATCGCATAGAAGGAAGCACCAGCTCTAGAACTGGTCTTTTGATACATTCGTGGAAATAATCGTACCTTATACCATTTGTTACCAATTCAACATGCCAATCAAGGCTTTTCTCTGCAAACATATCACCAAATCGAAAAATTTTAAAAGCCTCTTCGATTAACCCCTCCCCTTCCCCGTACTACACACACTCCGATTCAAAGGTTATCGCGTACAAGATAATCGACTAGGGAAAAGTTGAATCTGCAATCGATTTTAACCGAATAAGCTTTTAAAATTTTTCGATTTGGTGATATGACAAACCGTTTGAGAATTTTATTCTATATTCAATATTATAATTTTAACAAAGTAGAATTGATCTGAATCAATTTTTAATTTTTTTACCTTATTCAATAAACATACGAAAACCTATCATATCTTGTTTTATAGAGAAAAACCTTTCAGTCAACACTATGCATTTAAAAGACATTTAAAGAAAGTAGCCTTGGAATTAGATATCTTTTTTCAGAAATCTTCTTGGTGAATTACTGCGTACCTATCTGCATCAGATTCAGATAAGACTATGTGGTGTATGAAAAAAAAATTTAACTATGTTAAGTTATTATTGAGACAGGTCAGAGTTTTCCATGAGTGAATTTTGGCATGCATTGCACTACTTCAGAAGACGCTAAACGTCGATCGAAATGTATAAAATTCTAAATTTGAAGAAATGTAAACAATATGTCTAGTAGACTATTTTGTGATAAATTATAACCTTCAAAGCGACTCTCTTTTCTGCAATTTTGCTCGAAAAACTTTAACTGCAAAGTGTACCGTTGTGTACCCAAGTCATAGACTGAAACAGATACAAAAAACATGATTGGTGAGGCGAGATGAGACAAATTCAACAGCCACTTCAAAAGATATATGGTGTAATAAAACTAATGACAAAAGTAAAGATCAACATTAACCAAATTCTCGATTTAGGATAACTATTGCATTCACAACTGATCGCTATATAAAGATATGTAAACCTTTTAAAGGCGGAAAACTATGTACACGAAAACATGCTTGTTGGATAATTGGTTTCTGTTTTGTTATGTCAGTAATTTATTTCATACCACAATTTTTAAGTTATACATGTTATAAAATGGTTCCTGATCCACAAAATGATACAATAGCCAACGAGACAGACGCCGCATTACATGAAGCATCGTTTCCTCAATTTTATTTACCCGGTTTATCATTATTCGGTAAAAATCTAGCAACACGTTTGATCACTCTGGCATTAATCAAGTGCATTATACTTCGAATACTTCCATTTATAATTGTATTTAAACTAAATTATCATTTAATTAATACTTTATCTCGTTCAAAACGTCGACATCGTCAATTAAATCCTTATGAACAAAAACGAAATGATGTAACATCTATGATCATTATTGTCGTCAGCGTTTATCTATTATGTATATTTCCATCAATACCATTTTCTATCATGTTTTCATATGACGCCGATTATTTTGTTCGAATGTCAACAAGTCATCGTATTTTACAAACTTTTGATGAATTTTCAAAATTTTTAATGATATTTAATAATGCCATACAATGTTATTTATATATATTTTTCGGTAAACGTTTTCGTCGTGAACTATATCGATTATTATGTTGTCCATTTATCATTAATTCACCGGAATCCAGTTTTGTCAATGGCAGTTATGATCTAGTGTTAAGTGGCAAATTTTCATTTGATACTGAACAAGATTATTTATCGTCGATCAAATTCAGTTTTGATCATCCAAGACGTTGGAGTCGTTTGACAACGTCAACAACAAGTTCAGATAGGACAGACACGCATATGGGTTTAATAAAACAATTGAAAAATCGATTATTTGACTGATCAAAATCAATTACTCTATTAGTAAGAAAAAATAATCTTGTTTATTTCTTATGAACATCTTTTCTGAGTTTGAACAAATAGATTAAAAAATCCGTCCGAAATACTTTTGTTTTTTATTTATTAGTATCATCCTTTTATTGTACATTGCTGTCTTTGTATTTCAGTCTCCCAATTTCTTTATTCAATAAAGAGTTATTTCTTTTCGCATATGTTCTCTAGTCAACGTTAAATGAAATCAGTCTTTTTTGGTGCTGTTTTTTTACAGAGACGAAGGAGTTAAGACTTAGTTGAGATACAATTCATATTTTAATCAAGTATCTCAGTTGAGAATATCTCAGTTGAGAAACCAATATTTCTATGATATATTCGTTTCTCAACTGATCAGAGTTGCTAGATGCTTAGGTCGGAAAAGCGGAATAAAAAGTCGAAAATGCGGAAAAAAAGCGGAAACGAATTTTTTACCGTATTAGTTCGTTTTTCACCAAATCCAAAGGGTATCAAAAAACGTTTTCTAGCCCTTTATGGTGGGTCCACTTAAGAAACACAAAAGAAGTACAAAACATCATTTAAATCCCAATATGAAATGATATTGGTTGTTTGTGGATGCGCGTTTTTGATCAGCCGTCATAAATTTCAAGAGTTATATATGGTTAAAGTTATATAAAATTTAATTCGAAACTTTTCCGCCTACGACAGCGGTTAGGATTTTCGGACCGAGTTGGCTTTCTTGAAGATTTAGTATTTCACTATTTTTCACACTCCCTTTCAGCAGCACTTCAGACAAGCTAATGTTTTTCTGTTAGCGCTCTCTCCCGGGACAAATTTCTGATTTAGTTCTCAAAATAGTGCGCATCTGTTTTATAAAAGCTGCAAAAGCATTGTTTTGACAGGACATTTTTTATGAGAAAATGTAAGAATCTTCATTGCAGGAAAAAGGACAAAAACAAAAAATCCTCAAAAAGCGTTTTGCTGCGGAAAAAACTACAGAAAGCGGAATTTGTCCATCTTGCAGTAATGTACACGGGTGAGGTTATTCAATAGTGAATGAAATGAAATTAGGTATATGATGTATCTCTCCTGACTATCTAAGGAATTATCCCCACATTACATGGTCAAAATATTACCATGTATTAAATTATTATCAAGTAATCGCTTGTATGCAAAAAATGTAACAACAAAATCAAACATTATTCATTTAACAAGTTATCAGTAACGTATTTCAAGCAAAAAGAGAACACCTCTTTTATAGTTCATTCTATTGTCATACTATTTAGAGCAGCCTGGGGTAATTATGATCAGGATAAAAAAAATTCTCAGTATTCTTGAAAACAGCACTGCAGCTATTTTTCACCAAAAAAAAGGGATATTTCTCAGGCAGATTGAGCTGAGTCTTATCTATCGATCGATGTAAAAATTATCTTAAAATTCATTAGCGTTAATTAGTACTAATCAATTTCCAGCGAGCAGGTATGGACTGATCATAATTACCCCAAATGGGGTAATTATGATCAGTCAACGTATACCGATGGGATAATTATGATCAGCACAGCCAAAATGGCTGGAATGAACTTAAAGAACTTTGTTTCACCGAAGAATTTCAAGCAAACAAATTAAAACTTAGTTCATTTTGTAGACAATTCTTTTTTCGATTTCTCATGTGAATTGCACATCATTCAGACCTGACCGGAATTAATTAATGAGAAATTACGAAAATTAAAAGAGATACTCATTTTTTCTATATATATGGGTGGGGTAATTATGATCACTCTACTGTTTTTCATGGGGCAATTATGATCAATCCGTGCAAATTACACGGAATAAACAGCATTTGACGTCCGCCAGTCTCTAGAAGTCGGCTTTTGGTCTAGTTCAAGTGAAGAATGTCTTGATAATATTATAATTAATGACATATGTAAAACGCGGAATAAAAATGCGTGTTTTTATTCCGCTTTTTACATATGTCATTAATTATAATATTATCAAGACATTCTTCACTTGAACTAGACCAAAAGCCGACTTCTAGAGACTGGCGCACGTCAAATGCTGTTTATTCCGTGTAATTTGCACGGAATACAGAAAACCACTTTTCAAGGTTTCATGAGAGGTTCTGAGCGAGTTTTCTACGTCAAAAGCTTAAAAAAAGAGAGGAAAAACCGGCTTTTTTCATATGTGGCAAAATATATGCATCTAGTATAAAGTCGATGCATCTAGCTCGAAAGATCGAATGTCGATGCATCTAGATGGAAAGATGGAAGACGAAAAGAGACAAGCGGTGGAGGGGGGGGGAAGATGAGAGTGAGCCACTTCCATCTTTCCATGTAGATGCATCTAGATCGAAAGATCGAATGTCGACATTCGATCTTTCGATCTAGATGCATCGACTTTATACTAGATGCATATATTTTGCCACCCCTCGCTTTTTTACGCAGTATAGTGTAATCATTGCTCGTTTTTTGCCTTGCTTTTCAACTTATCGAAGGCCTTTAATCAATATCGCTGCGTATATGTGTTAGACATGGCACACTCCAACTTTACTGGCGTTTAATAGAAAAGGAAAACTATGTGTAGTTAGCTGTTAAAACAAATTTCAAGGTATGTGAGATGCATGAGTTAGGACAAAGCACAAGAACGGAACGGAAGAATAGTTTAGATAAGAATAGCATTCTTTAAAAATATGTGTAATATTAATACTCTTATCCAAGTATCAAAGCCGTATAAGTTCCAAATGAATTTTTCACTCAAACGTGAGAAACATCGGTCCATTTCAACGAAGAGTTCTTGTTTCGTCGACAACTCACTCTCACACCGCCCCTCCCGCCTCTGATGTTCTCTGATCTATATTCAATATATCTATATTCTATATCTATATTAGATAACTCCGAAGAATCTTTGCAATTGTCGTGGTATCGACAGAAAGAAACCGCCACAGTCTTATGTCTCATGTAATTACAGTCTTATGTAATTAAATCAATTAATTCATTGGAAGATACTAAATAGAGATAAAAGACGAAACGATTAGTGGCATAAGAGAGTATTTTATATGCTTCTTTGATCCATGCTCTCCGAAAGTGTAAGATAAAAGAATGTCTTTCACAAAATGCGTTTACGAAAATTCATTGTACAAAGTAGAGTAGAGCTCATACTACTTCTATTTGAAATGTAAACACCTACTCTCTTAAAAGTTTGTTCAGCTGACAGCAGTCAGCTCTTTCGCGCCAGAGATTCCTTCCATGACTGTCGCAGTGGCTTTGTACGATGGGTCACTTGGTGGTACTCGTGCACTCGTTTTTGCGTCCTATAATGATATCGTTTATCTATCACAACAAGAACACTGGTACAGTGATGGTACATTTTATACGTGTCCATCCATATTTTATCAAATATATTCGATTCATGCATATTACGATGGAACGTCAAGCCCATGCGTTTTCGCGTTACTTGAAGGTAAGTCAGAAGAAACTTATGCTGATTTGTTTTTAGTAATTCTCAGAAAAATGTCCGAATTCCAGTTAGTTATCAGGTTACGAACTATTACAATTGATTTTGAATTAGGTGTTTCCAATGTGTTTGCCAAGGATTACCCAAGTATTATTGTTAGAGGTTGTTTATTTTATTTTGAACAAAGTCTATATCATAAATTTGTTGATCTTGGTTTAAAAACACAATACAAAGATGACGAAACCTTCGTGATTGGTTCAGATCTTTTGCAGCATTATTGTTATTACCATTAAAGCATATGTTATGGGGTTTGCAGTATCTAATTCGTACTCGACCAGACTATCCAGGTATTCAAGGATTTATTGATTATTATCATAATACATATGAACCATTCAGTCGATTTTCGCCTCATATGTATAACCATTATCGTAATATAACACCTCGAACAATTAATTATTTGGAAGGTCAACATTCTCGAATAAACATAGTAATAAACACCAATAATATATTTTTTTTCTGATAATACATTCGTTGTCGCAATGAATATTCATTTGCTCATTCATTGCTTTTGGTCCAAATAATTAGTGGAAATTAAATCCTTATATAAGAAAATAGCTAAATTGGAATATATTTATATGTAATCAACGGAAAGTAAATCCGTATATAAGAAAATTATACTTTTCTATGAAAAAAAGTTAATTAAAATAGAAATTAATCAACGGACAGTAAATCGTGCACTCGCCTTTGGATACATGGCGGTTAATTGTTTTTGAAGACGTAGAAACAATTAGAAAAGAAAAATTCGATGTATATAAACTATATACAGCAAAACTAGTATACAATCAAATGTTCTATAATAGAGGAATGACAGGGGAATAAGAGGGGGAACAGCGGAATAGCGGTCAATCGGAATATATTTTGAAACGTTCCCTAAGTACGAGAAAGTTTAATCTAAGCAGTTGTTTATTAATGGTGATGTAAATGGTGATGATAGAAAAAATAAAGAAACGGTAAACAAAATGAGACACCATTTAAGACATAAAGTACTAGCGGATCTTTATGCTCCATGTTGTACACTGAGAATAAATATCTGAATGACATACAGCAATGGGCCCATGATGGAGTAAGCAACAGGGAGAAGTAGAACAGGGGCCTGTTTCTTAAAAAAACTTAAGTAGAAAATCTAACTTAAGTCCAAAAAAGTTTTTGTCTTTTTTGACTTAAGTAAGATTTTCTACTTAAGTTTTTTTAAGAAACAAGCCCCAGGAAAAAGAAAGAAAAACAAATTTAAAGTGACTAACGTTAATAAGTAGAAATTAGCGACGGTAGTTTTTCGAACGCGGTGAACCGGCGGAAATCACAAAAAAAGTGCGACATGGGAAATAATAGTTTCTCAACTGGGGCCTGTTCCTTAAAAAAACTTAAGTAGAAAATCTTACTTAAGTCAAAAAAGACAAAGACTTTTTTGGACTTAAGTTTGACTTAAGTCAGATTTTCTACTTAAGTTTTTTTAAGAAACAGGCCCCAGAGATACTTGATTAAAATATGGATTGTATCTCAGTTGAGACGTTACGAGACAATGTAAGAATACATTATAGATAACGATAAGAGAAAACAGAATTTCAACTTGAAACATAATATCAATTCTTAAAAAACGTTTGTTTGTTTTAAAAAGAATTAAATTTGTTGATAAACCCAGACGTATTATAATTAAAATGTTTCAAAATCTACTGGGTGGCATCCAGCAAAAAAACACCTATTTGAAGAAGAGAGAGAGATATTTGTTTGTATCGTTTTCTGATCTAAGAAGATTTTAATCAATGCTTTTCGAATGTAGATTTTTTGTCAAATGATGTATATTATACTTCTGAAAAAATTTTAGATACGAAAAGTCGGTAACTCACACTTGCTAGATTTTCAGTGTTTCTCCCCACTAGGGAAACATTTGATAATAATTTCTGACAAGTAAATGCTTAAAACGTATAAAGTTACAAAATAAATTTTACTCGGTGAGTACTATCTGTAAAATACAGAGGTAATCTCTCTTTCGTAGTTAGGGAACGCTTTTCAATTGGAATTTCTAAAAAAGATTCTTAAAAGATTAAGGTGTTTTCGAATTAAAACATTTTTATCGATTTAAAAAAGACAGCTTTCTACATAATCACATAAACACGATCTCTACAATGGGAACAATTTTTCTCGCCGGTCCAGATAAATATGTATATCAACAGTTGTCTAGTTTTCAAAAACAAAAGTCACTCGCATCTAGTTACGTATATTCATTTATTGAATAAACAGCTTTATTTTATTATTTGTTGAAACAAATCATCCAGAGAAAAGATAATTCAGTATTTAAAGAAAAAAAACAGATGTTCTTCAACTTGGCAACAAATATGGAACAACATTGATTTCTTCCAATTAATTGCAACAGGCTCACTGTGTAGATAGGCAAGAAAAAATGGTGTATGTTTCGTCTTCATTTCATAGAGAGAAACGGATCGAATAGCACGAGGTACGTATGAGCAAGCGAAAATCGTTGATAGAAATTATTATGAATTGTTAAAACAAAGGTAGTTTTTCAATAAACTGTTGTTGAAAAGGGCTTGTCGAAGCGTAATGTTGTTACGTTTTTTTCCACACTAATTCTTGATTTTCTCAGCAACGATGAACGACAGAAGGACCGTTCTAGCGTCAATTTGTGTATCGATCTCATCCCCATTTATGGTAAAAAAATTAGCGAAATCGATTTTGAAATGCAGTTTCTGTAGTCGAAAATAGGAGCGTAATGCTGATACGAAAAAAGGCCCTCAAATTTTCGGTAACCTATGTAATTTGGAAAATTTCCAAAACAAAGAATTGAAAAAACTTGTCAAAGACCACATTTTGTAGCTAAATCAAAGGTAAAAAAATTTTTTCTCAGCTATGTTCCTGGAGCCCAAAACCGCATTTTACCAATGTGCCGCTATTACGCAAAAATTTTGGAGCTTGTTAACGAGGGCTTTTTCGACATAACAAGTTTTGTATAACTCAACTTAGACTGCCTGTAAAGTTTGGCATAGAATGAAGACGTCCAGGTGAGAAATCAAGTTACAAATTTTTTGTAGTAAAAGTTTATAATTTTTAAGTTGTTGGAAAATTCTTCACAAAAAATGTTTCTTTTGCGAACTTTAGAAAATTAAAAAAACTTATAAAATCTGTTCTAAGTATCAGAACTTCGAAAAAATGAGCCATTTTGTAGCTAACGTAATTTTCTATCGAATCACGTAGTTTTTAAATTTTTTCAGATAACTGTCTAGGTAAGAATGAGGAAATTAAAACTAAAATTTTGAAACTTTAAAATTTAAATTTTTATTTTTTAAAAATGCCAGATTCATAATCAGTATGAAAAACTGCATCTAGTCATGTATTTAAATCAATTATCCGATGAAAAATATTTTTCAAAAGCTTAATCAGCGAGGTGTCTTGTTACATGAACAAGCCGAAAAATGCTACTGGCTCTAAAGATTTGTCTACAGAACCATGTAACTCTGAGATGATGGAGAACTGTGTTTCACACCTCAGTATCTGCAACTTTCTCATAACACGTCAATCTAAACCCCAAAATGTTAAAGCTTTTGTTTTTTTATGAAGAAACACATTTATTTTTTGTTTAACAATAGAGCCTTAGCGTATAGCTTCTTCCTTTTAATGTCGCATACAGAAATCTGAATGTGAACATAGTGTGCATCTTGTCGTATGTTAGATAAAGAGGATACGCTAAAGATCTAATAAATCGACTCATTAATAATTTGCAAATTGTAGCAAAACTCTAAACTACATCCTGTTATTCATTTTAAAAGTATTCTTTTCAGATGACACGATACCATTTCCTATACATTCTAGTTGTTATATTACTCATCAGTACAGCACATTGTAGGTGACTCTATGCTCTTTTCTATGTTTTAAACTCAGGCAACAATGTACATGTTTGCAGGTAGAACGCGAAAACTATCGAGTGGTTCTCGAGTACAACGAGGAGCAATTCAGGGAATTGTTATCTATAATGGAAATGCTTCGTTACCATCAGATTCAAAATTCTACATTAAACTAATCGATACAAGTATAGATGATGAAGTACTTTCAAAATCATACATGGATATTGAAAAGTTTCCCATTAAGTTTAAACTGGTATATCCATTACATAACGTCCGACGGCTTGGAACATACATGATATCTGTTCGAATCATACAAAATAATAAAACATTATTTATCAAAGATATGAATTTGAATCTACCAGTTGTATTTACAAAGAAGAAACAAGTACAAAATATCACTATTCCAGTCAATGAACCACGTGCGTACATTAAAGATAAGATTTATTTAGTAGCTTTTTTCGTCTTTTTTTTCAGCTCCTTATTACCCTAACATTGAAAAACTAACACCACTACAATTCAAAGTAACACAACGAAGTGGTACTGAAGAAGTGAGTAGTAAGAAAAAAACCATATCAAAGATCCGGACGTTTTTGTATTTGATAGGCGTTTTCGAGTAGTTTATACTACACCAAAAAGCAAGGTATTTATACGTGTGTTGTTTGTAACAAAACATTATTCAGGTGAGAAAAGAAGTTTTCCTTTTTCACTTATCTGTATGCTTTTTTGCCTTATTTAGTTCTGAACATAAATATGAAAGTGGAACGGGTTGGCCCTCATTTTATCAAGCAGCCTTTCATGATAGTGTTGGAACAACAAAAGATACAAAATACGGAATGATTCGAACAGAAGTTCATTGTAAAAATGTGTGTTAAATCTTATAATCTATATTTGAATCGAATATTTGACCACTGTTATTGTTTCATTTGCAGTGTGGAGCTCATCTGGGACACGTGTTTGAAGATGGTCCAAAACCGAGTGGTTTACGCTACTGTATTAACGCTGTTGCATTAAATTTTATTGAACAAGTGAAACAAAAATAGAATTAAATTTTTCGATTTAAAGAGGACTTAATACGAGTGCACAAACAAACTTCATAATATAAATTATCTATGGATGTACACAGCCACTGATCACCACTTGAAAGTTCATCGACGGCGGTCAATGCAATTTTTATCTCGTACACAAAACTTCTATAAAAATAAGTTATGTGATGTGAATACATTCAATTATCCGCCTCACATATCATATTACATTCATTTTTTTATTAACTTAATTTATTATTTACTATTGTTTATTTTACAATAATGATATAAGCCTATGATTCACATTTTTAGGAAAAACAAGTTCTAGGGACGAAAGAGTTTTTCATGAAGAACTTGTTCGATAGTATTTCACTTAAAGCTAAAATTACTTTTTCCTCTGAATTAGAATGTTTTACTTGTTAGCTATTGCATTTGTGCGGCTAATAGTATTTGATGTATGATCAAAGTTTGGTAATATTATTTAACAAAGTGCTTACACTGTTTTGTAAAGAATAGCCTATTACCTTTCTAAAATGGTGTGGTCGTGTTGTGTCGTCAAGATTTCTGCATATATTTCCTGCTTTGTATTGAATTGTGATACTTTACTGTATTGATTATTATTATGCAAACTCTGAAAAAATACAAACTATACCACAGACACATACAATATTCCTTGACATGAGCAGAAAATTTTGACTCACTATTATTCTTTTTCAAAATATGGGGAACTACACAAAATATTTATATGGCTATTGAATCCCAGTTTTCGCCAAGCCCGTTGTGGAGAGCTCGGACTGGCCTTAAATTAACGAAAAAAACCACACCATATGTGGCTAGACGCTAATAGAGCCGAATTTTTGATATTTTACATTTCAAATTAATGGTCAAAAGTCCAAAATTCGAAAAAGTCGCATTAACTTTGGTAAAGATGTTTTTCTAATCACAAATCTAGACCAAATATCAAACATCAAACACCAAATATTGGCCTCTAGCCACATGTGTCAGCTTCAATTTAAGACCTTCCTGAGCTCTCTGCGATGTTTCGTTACCGAGAAATTGGGGAATTACGAAATGGTGTTAAGGTGAAAGTCGCTTTCGAGATATGGTGGCGCCAGTATCTGATGCATGTTTTAGAGCTTCCAGCAAAACTCTCATAACTCTTGATCAGAACATCGTTCGGAGTTGGGAAATATCTCATTTTGATCAGAAATGTTTGCTTTATTTTCCTACATGATAAAAATAATTTTCGATTTGTATTTTAATCGAAAAGTAAAACTTTTTCCAAAAGCCAGCTTTTCAAGGTTTTTAGAAAAGTTTCTAAAAACCTCCATACCTCTTCGACGAGGGCCACATAACATTAGATCCTGATAGTAGATACTGTGAGCTGTCTGATGACGTGCTTAGTTCAATATCGACTTTTTATAACAAAATTTATGTTTCTGACGGGGAGAGAGGGGGCCTTAAATCATTTTACTTGTAAAACATCACATGATTTTATTTGGAAAAAACCCGAAGTAAAATATCTTTTATTTTCACAATACTGTATTCGAAATTGTATATTGGTGAAGACTCTAAAGCTGAACGTTTTGAAATAATTCATAGGAAGTCAGGAGTTTTGTTCAACATACAGTTTCGAAAACTTTCATCAAAATTCAGAAAGAATCTCATTCTTGTGTCAACGCTAAGTGCAATGGATTCCCTGTAAAAAAATTCCAGTGCGGCACTGGTAAAAATCAGTGCGGCACAGCCAGTGCGCATGGCATGCCATCGGTCACTGGCACTGGCGGGCACCGGTGCGCACCCGTGCCGATTGGCATCCGTGCGCACCGATGCCTATATATTTCTGCTGAAAGAGTGCCCGCACTGGTAAAAATCAGTGCCGCATGGGTGCTGCACTAGCAAAAATCGATGCCGCACTGATAATTTATTTAATCAATTTAATTAGTTCTTTATTATGGTTGTTTATGCTGAATTTTGTGTTAGAGTGCGGCACTGATCAGTACCACATCGACATGCCAAAACCATGCGGCAATGTCTCGGCATTTCTCTTATGAGAAGGAAAAAATGAAGCCAGAAAGACATTCGAAATATTAGAAGTAGACCGTAGCGTTAATATAGATAGAAATTGACAAAACAAAACTTCGGCACTGGTGCGCATCGGTGCGAGATTTTTACATTCTTTCTGGCATCGATGCGCATCGGTGCCCAGAAAAAAAATTATTCGGCACAACCGCATTCGTGCACAACCAGTGCCGATAAAATATTTTTTTTGTAGGGTTCCAATAATAATCACATTTGTGTTCCATTTTACACTGAAGAAATTGTCAACGTTCTGTTTGTTGCTTTTTATAATGTCAGTAAAGATGTTTTTCTTTTTTTGAATTTCTATTTGAACTATGTTGCTTCAATCTATATCTTCACCGTAGTAATGTGTGTTGTACTATAACGGATCAACAGTTAATAAATGCAAATAAATAAATTTATTCCAAAAAACAGTCGCTGTGTGTATCAAGTACTTATATTGTGCTTCTCGATCCACGATTACTTCGCGCTTATCCAACTATATCCGTACAGATAAATTACACTTTAAAAAAAGAATACGTTCATTTTCTAAAAAAATTTTAACTTCAACCTTCGATAAATACAACATATTTACAGATCCTCTATACGAGCAGTCGTTCATCAGATCATAAAGACCACACTCAAGTGGATACACAAAAATAATCGTCGAATAGAAAGAATAAAGTTTTTTGTCATAGTATGATTGCTAACAAGCCTCCAAGTTTCACGTAATCGTCTTAATAATCTAGTATTCTGGATAGCAGTAAACATTAAAAGCACAAGAAAATTTAAAAACATACGCAGTTTGATTATTTCAACAACAAAAAACTTCAGCGAAAAATAGTCCTCACACTCATCAACTTAGCTCTCGAATATTTGAAGAAGACAATGACGAACAAAAAAAAGATGTTGAAGAAGAAACACATAGAAGCAGAAGCACAAAAACGACATAAAATATACAACAATTACGTTAAAGCTTCTTAATGAAAAAATTAACGATTGTTGCTTTTCTTTTCCTTCTTCTGTGACTAGAACAGAAAAAATAAATGTTTCTAAACTTAAAAAAACGAGAAGTAAAGATGACTACATACATTTTTAATGAGAATAATTAATATACGAACGAATAAATCGACCATATCAATGAATAACATTAATGCATGTCTAAAGAACAAAAGAGTTGATTCAAAGTAAACTAATAGATAGAGTTAAACATGAATGTTGAAGAACTAAAGCCATTGAAATGATTTTCTTTGTTTCTCATGTCTGTGAGTTGCTAATAGTCTAAATAAAATCTCATAAACATCTTTAACTTACCTGACATAATTTGTTTCACCATTCTGAGCACGAGCAACAATCAATTGTGTGTCATACAAAATGTAGCCACATGCAAGTGCAAGACCAAGATATAAATTAATCTGAAACGACATCAACAACTTTACTTTTTATATCATATTTTCTCAACACTTACGTTAAATAATAACTCAGAACGACCAAATAAACTCATTAAACTGAGTACTAATAAGATTGATGTACCAGAACCTAAGAGACCTAAACACAAAACAAGAATGAAGATAACATTAGATGCAGATAGAAAGTGTTTCTCTACACTTACCTCCAAGATATAAATAAGTACGTTTTTCTGTCCATAATGCACTCAATGTAAAACAAACGAAAACGCATGTTGTCAATAAAAATGCTGTCATCAATATTCTAAAATAGAATAACGAGTTTTTACTTACAGTTAAACACGCTGGATTAAGAAGTCTTCCATACTCATTAACCATATCAAAATAACTCATATAAAATTAAAGACTTTTTCGTCTCTATTTTAGCTTTCTATCTTACTCATCTCAAACTATCTTAGTTTTTAATAACTATTCCACTATCTTGTAAAAAAAATTCCAGTGCGCATAGCATGGATGCCATCGATCACTGGCACCGGTGCGCACCGTGCCCAGCAAGTGCCAATATATTTCTGCTCAAAACGTGCCGCACTGAAATTTATTTAATCAATTTAATTAGCTTTTTATAATAGTAGTTTATGCTGAATTTTGTATTAGAATATGGCACTGATCAATACCACATCGACATGCCAAAACCATGCGGCATTGCCTCGGTACTTCTCTTATGAAGGAAAAGATGAAGCCAGAAAGACATTCGAAATATTAGACGTAGACTGTGGTGTTAAAATAGACAGAAATTGACAAAACAAAACTTCGGTACTGATGGGCACCGATGCGAGATTTTTACATTCTTTCTGGTACCGGTGCGCACCCGTCCACAACCAGTGCCGATAAAATATTTTTTGTAGGATATCGCTTCAGAAAGAATAAAGAATTTGGGGAGAGACTACTAGATGCAATTGAACGAAGAATCCATAATTGTAGAGTACATGAGTACAAGTAGCTACAACTGTTACAGGGAAAAAGCTGAAGTTACGATCTACTTCCTGTTTTAAAATAGTACATACTGTGGATCAATATTGATAGCTAAATCGATTAATGGATTCAAATAAACTCCTGTACAAAATGCCGTTGTCGCAAATAAACCAAAACATTTGATTTGATTTTGAGAATTAAACTCAGTACTGAATAACCACACCGATGTTATGATGCTACCCAAAACAGCCAAACGTGGATACTGAAAATATAAGAAAATAGATTATAGAAAATACAAAAAGAGTATAATAAGTGATATTTAGCGGAATTTTTACATGTTTCACTAGCAAGCAATTTGTCCAACGATAAAAATGTCTGTACAAAACTACACAGAAGTTATTTATACTTCCAGTATTGAAAATGCGCTTAAAACTGCGAAAGAGCATTCTAAATCTTCATATTTCATTCACAAGAGATCTAAGGAATTGCGAACTTTGTGTATTGATGTTTTCTTTTTGCTTAATCATTTAAAACATACGAAACGTGTGCATTCTTACATTCATCCATCCATTTAAACTCATAAATATACCAATCGTTGCACAGAGAGTGGCAACCATTAAACATGTATAAACATTTTTCAAATGTTTTTGAACACGTGGATTTCTAAATAACGTTAAAATAGAACAATAATCAATCATAATTCTATTATAATCTTATTTGCTAAACTTACAAATGTGAAAAATCACATAGTGTTTCCAAATTAAATTTCGATGATTTACCATGACTGCCAGAAGCTCCGGTGCTATTTGCACCAAAATAATTTTCGAACAGTGTAGCCATCTAGAGAACTATTTAAATAAACAAAAAAGTAAAATCAGTCAGAGACAGACATCAGCAAATAATAAACATAAACAAAATATAAAAGTCTGCACAAACGTAAAACAATTATTCTAGTAATCATTTATTTATACGCTGTACAAGCACTCTTTCACGTCGAAGTACGTGGAAGCACGTGGAAGTACGTGGAAGAGCAAAATGAGAAGAAAGAATTAACAAGTAATGCACTCTTTTAATTTCTTTTGCTGTCTTGACGAACTAATACTAGCGTTTTACGCTAACAGCTTATTTCCTGTTTTATTTTAAAACGGTACGTTATATATGTACGTCATAAATTCGTCATGTCTGATATATTGATCTGCAAGATAAGAGTGAAAAAATAGGATGGCATCAACAAAAGGGCAGGAACGAATCATTGATGGGCAGCAGAAGTGTAACAAAAGACGCACACTTATGCAGTACGGCATATGTTCGTGTTGCATTTGGCAAATTTTCGAGAGAATTTGATGTATACAGAGAAATAAGAAGGATAAAATTCTTCAGCAATGAATATTATTCAAAAAATTTGTTGAGGTGTGCTAAGCAACGAAGAAAACGTATTTGAATGATGGTTCTATAAATGAAGAAGGATCGAAGGAGGAAATGAAAGAATCGGAATACATTTTTTTCACGTATAACTACATAAAGAAGCCAGATCTTCAGAGATCGGTTCCTGTCTCCAGGGATGGTATTAGTAGTAGGCGCTGTTTGTCGTAATGCTTAAATAGTTGTCGCACTTAAAGCTTACACATGTACAGTTGGTATTTATTTTATTCAATAACATTGTTATACCAACAGTTTACTGAGAGTATGAAATAAAATGAAAGCGATATTACGAAATTCAAACTCAGTTCAGTAATGAGAGCCGTTAAACGAAACTGAAAACAGCATATGTATAACTGAAAAATCCACGTCATCCATATTTAACTCCACAATAGTACCTCAGATAGAGATAAACCTGCTGGATGGGTACTTGATATAATAAACAAAAAAGCCCATGGAGTATAGAGCAAAAATGCTTCCTTCAGAAAATATAGGGAAGTAACAGCAGTGATATACGCTTCCTACTGGAAAACCTAGTAACCCAGATATAACTCCACGACCTAAACACAGTCGATCTGGAGATGATATAAAAACTCCAGCCATAGGGAATATCAAATACCATGATAGTATAGGTGGATAATGTGCCGTTCAGAAAAAGTTGGCTCTTCAAAAATGTTTTATCATTTTTTGGATAGGTTTTATTTTTTTGTATATTTTGGGGAGTCAGTTTTATAAAAAAACTGAAGTCTGACTTAAGTCAAAAATCGAACTTAAGTCATAAAAGACAAAGAACTTTTTTATAAAACTGACTCCTGGATGTATTCAAATTCTCGGACGTCCGACGTGAGCGGATTAAAAGTTTTCCAGCAGGCTTATTTATAAGATTTTACAAGACACAAAAGACAACGATACAGAATAATAAAAAGTTAAAAAAAATAGAATAATCGTGAACAAAATGAGTTTTCCGTCATTTTTGTTCATTAAAAATTTAGGTGCTATTATGCTACATAGCCTGTGGCTGTAAGTCAGCAGCGATCCCGACATGTTACTGTCACTCAACGTGAGAAAAAGTTTGAAGTTTTTCAATTGGTGGCAGGTTTTTATGCATTCAGATTAACAAAATGGCGAATGACTTCTTCGGGAATTTAGAGATAACTCGTCTAGAACTTCCCGTTGACGAAGTGTCGATTGCGGATATTTCAGCAGCTGATACTGCAGAATAGGATGGATGTTTCCTGTAAATGACTCTATAATTAATTATAAACATGAAGTAGACGATAACGCTTTTATATCCTTTAAACAGATATCTGAATTAATTGTCTAAAGTTGAATATGTCCAAAATGAAATGGAAGACGTTCAGGGTTAAGTGCATGGATTAAAAATACAATTGAGCGCTTCTTTAGTCTTCGAAATCGCGTCAAGATCTTTTAACTGAATACACTTGTGCATATGGTAAGTTTGCATAGATATTTTTTAGTTATGTAACGAACATCGTAGAGTTGCTCAGTGAAATCAAATGTACGTCGTCTTATTTCTTTTACCAAGAGAAATAGTTTTGATATAAATTAAAATAGAAAAGCCAACAGTGACTTGATGATTTAGCAAACAATAAAAAACGTATTTGAGCTCATATGATTTGGATGATTCATCTATGGCACAATTACAATGTATTGACACAGCACAAATTGTAATAGTAGTCGTTATAATTTTGAGTGTCAAGCGCACTACAGATTTCTACAAATTCAACTTGGTTAACGATACATATAATGGGAGATTTTTCAGTCATAGGCAGGAAATTGATGGCTTGCAATATTCTCAGTCTCTTAACAAAAATATTTTTGAATGTGCCATTGATTATATACATCTAACGAAAAAAATTTACTTACGTAGTTCAAAAAATGTGAAATTACTGATTCATTTCTCACATAACGGCACAGTATGTCAAAGCACTTTCTCCTTTTCAATAGCTAATAACATCATTGAAGAACTCATTCATTCGAATTCATTCGAAGCACTCATCTGTTTGCTATGTACAACGACATCATTTATCAGTAAATAGATGAACACCCGCGATAGCTCAGTTGGTAGAGCGGAGGACTGTAGATGCAATGCAGCAAATGTAATCCTTAGGTCACTGGTTCGACTCCGGTTCGCGGGATATTTTTTTATTTCAAAATTACGTCATACAAAAGATAGTGATGCTTTTCTTTCGGTTTACTCATCTGCATTAAGAACAAAAATATACATTTTTTTATGCGAAAAATAGAAGAGAAGGAAGACAAGTTAAGTAAATATCACCAACAAGAAGTACAGATACGAGATAGATACAAATTCAGACTACGTGTGATTAGTATACAAATATCATTCAAGATTCACCTCAACACGTCTGACTGTAGGATGTCTCTAGTGAATGTACTTGAGGATAGGTAGTACAGACACTCTCAAAATCCGGACAAATAAGGAAATTTTTTTCCCCAATTCTGGACACACGTTTTTTTATCGAAAATGCCCCGTGTTCACTGTTCAAATGGAAATAAATTCACTCCACTCAGTTTTATGTTTTAAAATAAAACTTATAAACAAAGACATACACAGAAATTTTTTGTTATTCAACTCGCTGTCTTTTAAACGAATATTTCTCAACTGAATGTACTGATTTTAATAAATCTGGCTTCGATAATAAATAACTCTAGATATCTGAGCATGAGATCTGTGCATTTAGACGTATTTTCAGTTCCGCCGAGATTAATTCAGTTGACATACGATTTCGACGATCATCGACAAGATATTTCATTAGAAAAACCTGACTAACGAGGATGTGTTCGAAAAAGGCAAAGAGAGGAAGAAGAATAGAAATAAAGCAGAAACGGAAGCAACATAATTAGCTATATCAATAGCCTATGAGTTTTCACAGTACATCCCCGCGTATAGGCAATTTAAAATTTTTATATGTCGTAATAAAAAGGCAAAAAGATGAAATTCCCGAATTCTAGACCAATTCCGGACCACGGACCACTTCCGGACAAAACTTCAAATTCCGGACCAGTTGGCAACTATGACAGGTACCCGAGTAATTGCATTTTTCTTGGGTATCTATGCGGGTACCTTGACCATTATTTTTTGCGATTGTAGTTATGTTTTCTTTTATTAATTTTTATATATTGGTTAAGTTTAATAGTAAAAATATAGTTTATGTGTTATTATTGTTTATGTTAATGATAGTAATTTGATTTAAAGATGTAAATCGTGAAAGAGAAACGGCTATGGACCATTCTATTATTTCTAGATTTAATGATAAATTTTTTAGTCTAGGGATAATTTTGTTTATTTTGTCTGAGATTATATTTGTGTCATTTTGATTTTGTTTTTTCTGTTGACATGGAGCTAGGGGGCGGGGGTATAACCCTCTAAAGGAATCCTGCTACATGAATATGCTACATGCCTACATATATAAAAGAAAGACATATGTTTACAGAAATGACGCACGTTTTTATCTTCACACGATTACCTAAAATGGCTGACCGTTTAGGTACTCGCTTTTACTTGTAAGCACATATGACATTCTCGTAACAGGGTACCTAACTCGGGTACCTATGGCCAAGTACGTTCACCAGGGATGGTACATCAACTTTCCGTTTTTTTTGTCTATAAAAATCAGTGAATTCTGAGTTCCAGACTTCATATGCAGACTTTGCCGTTTTTCGTTGTCGGCTTTAGCCAGTTTTGACGGTCTAATGCCTATCGAAGTTGAATGTAGTTTGGTGGCAAGACGATTATTCGCGTTCTGATAAGAACCATGTGCATGTGTGGCAAGGAGCTTTTTCTTTCTTCGCAAAAATTTTGGCTCAAAAAGGCAAAAAACACTTGCAGTTCAAGATCAAATTGTTGACAGAATCAAGTGAAGAACAGAATTTTCAAGATGAAGAACTTGATAATATTGATACAGCGCAGTTCTTCTCTATATGTAGACAGTGTTCAAATGAGCAACCGAGGTCTTTCCTTTAAGAGTCCTTGTTTTGACAGATTGCAATGGTTGATCTATCAGTGCATGAATCAGAAGAATGAGACATGATAACACTAGAGAATTGCAGAAAACACTAGAGAATCCGTTTCTTTGTGGAAGCAAATCAAGAACGTATTAGCTCATTGATCAGTTCTCAGATCATCCGAATATCGCCATTTCTTTCGATTACTCTCGCACTACTATTGTTAAATCGTAAGATTCACAACAATAAACCATGTTTTCGCGGCATACAACTTGTACACACGAGACACAACAAATGCTTACTAAACCCTTTTATTCCCTTCCGCCTTCATTCCTCTCCTTTTCCTCCCATATCTGTCTTTTGGCTGAAATACCGTTGCATGTAAAGACACTTTGTAAATATATCTTCCGTATTTCTTCCTGATTTTAATCTACGACAGTAAAAAAGATTTTTCAATCACTTTGAGAACGAACTCAGAAGAAAAAGTCTCTCGGCTACCGACTATAAAATATCCCTGGACAACACTTAGATAAGCGTTAGATTGCTTGCTCTTAACATAACCTTTGATTTTCAGCATAAGCACTGATGACGATCGCCACTTTGCACTCTCCGACATATCAGACATTCAACAGTCGACGAGCAGGATGCGTTACTAACCTTAAGGTGCCGGAAATGCAAAAGTGAAGCCAAATATAAAGTTCATTGAATCATACATCGTTGGATAGAGCTCGTGATGCTGATCACGAATAGCTCCGAGTCTTGCAAACCTATCTTCTTTTTCGTTTCAAAAGTTAAAATTCTCTACCATACATCATTCGAATCGTCGATTGACGAGCAGCAACAAATTAATATATCGCTTGTACTGTTTTCTTGTTGAGAAAAATCGACGTACTTTTACAAAAGAAGTGAAACGGAATCCATGATTTACCATTTTTCAAAAGTTGATGCAATTTCCCTTCTTTAACTCGAACTATAGGTTAGAAAAAGAGCAGAATTTTATGCAAATAGTAATAGATCTCGATGAATTTTCTAAGAGCTCTCCAGAACTTCTCGTTGAACAAAAGGGGTTAAGACGAGCTTACGGAAGAGTTTGTCGATCAAAAAAGCGTTTCACTTTTAACTTGATTCATCAAAACTTTTTGTGGCATTTTTTCTCATGTGACCACGAGTGAAAGTAGTGAACATAGGTGAATTTTATATCTTCACATACTGGTACATATGATTACTAGTACAATTAAAGTTTGCATGTGATCAAAACACAGAAATTAGTGATTTTTCTCTTTATATTATTCAATAAAAAAAATTAATGAATATTTTTGAATGCTTTTAAATTTGAACAGGTCTGACGTAAATAGAGAGAATGGATCAGATATTTCAGATAACAACATTCTTTATTATTTCTTTCAGTGACAATCAGAAGAAAAAAAAACATTTACTACGATTAAAAATGTAAATTTCTATTTTTCTCGTTCGTAAAACAACGCTGTTGTTCAAACAACGACAATGAAAAAAACAAAATAGATCAAAGAAAAAAAAAACAGTATAGAATAACAAAAACAAAAACAACAACAAGCAGAATATAAACAGAGAGCACGTTTTGTAAATCTGACATAAACGAATTATCCTATACAACAACAGCAACAATAAAGAAAAAATATCTGAGAAAAAAACAAATATTATATACACACATTTCCTGAGTGATAATCTGAGAGAACTTGAACCGAAACAACAAAAGTACGAAGAAAATTTTCGAGAGTACAAAGACAAAAAAAAAGATTATCTGAATTTTGATTTTAATCTAACTGCATAAACGGTGTTAAAAAAATTTGATGATAAAAACAATACTTTTCTTTCTCCTCTACGTTAGACAGATGTTTCTGAATTTAATTTGAGAATAAATTTATTATCTTTATGATCAAAATAATTTTGTTTCAATTGAATTTTTGGTAATTGTTTGAATGTACACATCAATTGTATATCTTGATATTTTAGAACGACTAACAAGTTATCATGAATGGAACGATTCAATTGTCTATCACATATAATAAACCATTGTTGATTCTGAGATTGCTGTTGTGGACGAGATAAAGTAGTGGTTGTTTGTTCAGTTTGTGATAAATAACGTTCAAGAAATGCACGTGGTGACATATCATAGGAGAGACACGTTGACAAATGATAAATAATTGATTCACGAGTATAATATGGTTGTTGACGAGTAATACGTAAATATTTTTGTAATGAACGTGACATGGAGGAAAATACAGCCTAGAAAAAAAAATTTACGATTAAAAACGATAAAAAAAAGATATGAAAATAAGACGTTAGTAATTCAAAATTCAAGTAAGATTTTATTTTTGATTTATTTATATATGATTCGATAGAACACATCAAACTGAGCAAGAAAAAGTTGGTTTGGTTTTTTAAAAATGTTTTTCAAACGAATAAAATTAAAAAACTTGATATGACTGAATTTGTTCAAAATTGCTATAGTAACAAAAAATTCAAGATGTTCACTTCGTCTTTATTTTCAAGTCTCGAAACTAATTTGGTCAGATTCAGTATCAAAGACTGAGTATAGAAGACATGTCTGATTGATCTCAAACCTAAAGTCTGATTGAATCTTGTTGACAAAAACAGACAAAAGATATCACCTCATTTTGTAAACCTATCTAGGTTTTTTGCTTCAGAAATATAGTCAAATCTCATTCGATTTATCATACCGTCAGTCACAAAAGTGTGAATCACATTTTTTAATTGTTTTTGTTACTGCGAAAAATTCGAAATTCTGTCCGTAATTCTCTATTTTCCCCATCAGAATCCAACTTTTATGCAATAAAAATGTCATATTCAGAATCAGCGCCAAAAACCGAATCGACTGATAGGTTTTGAAATTTTTAGTTAGTTTTCAGTTTTGGATGAAAATCTCAGTTGAGGTGAAAACTCAAAACAAAGTTAAGTGATAGGATAGGATAGAAATGTACATCATTCGACTCGGTTTTTGACGTTGATTCTGAATATGACATTTTTATTGCATAAAAGTTGGATTCTGATGGGGAAAATAGAGAATTACGGACAGAATTCCGACTTTTTCTCAGTAACGAAAAAAAATGAAAAAAATGTGATGCATACTTTTGTGACTGGCGGTATGATGAATCGAATGAGATTTGACTATCTTTAAAGCAAAAAAACTAGATAGGTTTACAAAATGAGATATTTAGATTAAAGATTTATAATGTCTTTTTTATTAGTGTTTTCTTTTTATTCGTTTGAAAAACATTTTTAAAAAACCAAACCAACTTTTTCTTACTCAGTTTGATGTGTTCTATCGAATCATATATAAATAAATCAAAAATAAAATCTTACTTGAATTTTGAATTACTAACGCCTTATTTTCAACATGAATCGTCGAGTTTGTATCTTATTTATTTCTAGTTTATTACATCATCACATGTACTAGAGAGGTATTGAAGTACATATCATTTGTACATCATGTTTAGCAACTATTTTCTATTTTAGAAGTTATTGAAACTCTACAACAAAAGAATTCTATAAGAATCAATGATTTACTTGTGCTGCTTCTCTTGAATCCATCGGTACATGAGATCCTCTTTTATCATGACATTTTCTAACATGAGTAAATGCATCTTCACATGCTGCCAACAATTTTGTACGACGTTTTCTTACACGACGTTCATAATCTAATTCATCATAGAATCTAAATAAAAACAAACTCATTGTACTTCTATTTCTCGTTCATAATTAATACTATTATCTATTCTTTACGAAGTTGAAAATTTAATTAAAACTTCTCTATTTCTTGTGCTTTAATGGGTGCTGCTTAGTCAAATGAAGTTTAAATTCCTTCCTTGTCTTGTATTTACCGTTCATTGTATGGACGACCACGAGATCGAATTGAGGTGGGTATTGTTGTTTGCACTGTTTGTGTTTGATCAACATTATAAATTTTAAAACTTGGATTTGTTGATTGACTGGTCACCGATTTCGTTGAATAATTTCCCAATCCACCATCACTACGTTTTGCACGTTGATGTTGAGCATTTTCTAACCATGGGTTATATTGTGAAAAATCTTTATAATATAATTCAAGTAAATAGACACTTGCTTCTTGAATTGATATTGAACCTAACACAAAAATAGAAAATATGTTTAATAATTTTATCTCTATGTAAAACAAAAACGTGAATAACAAAAAAAAATTTAAGATTTTTTAGTTCATAATATTTAGATAAAGTCATTCTTGACATACCGATCGAATATTGTTTGGTTACACCATCGGGTGATCTTACAATTTTCACAACATATTTTGGATATAAACATTTAATTTCTAATACTAACAATGTTATATAATGTAAGAATAATAATATATCTAAATAGGATGATGTATACTGGAGAATTTGATCATAATTTGAGTTATCGTTGCTCGAAAACAAAAGTTTCCAAACATAACAGAGCCAATAGAAACATAAAATTAATAATAATAGGACTAGCATTAATGCTTTGTACAAATGAATACGAGGAAAGGATTCTGAACGACGACGTCTAAACACAAAAATAAGTGAATTAAAATATCTTTTTTTTAATGACTTTTTTTAAAACAACTTACCTATAAAATAATACCAAGAATCCAATGAATAACAGTATTAATTTGATCGTAATCGGCAAATAATAATAATAATAATTATCAATTTCAACAGTTTTTATTATTGTTTTATTTAAATAATTATTAAATGGTTGAATTTTTGGTAATATCAAGAATAATAGTGGTGTAATATAAGATAAAAAACAGACAAGATAAATTGAGAATTTTGATAACCATCTCACTGTACATTGACGATATGACTGCCTTGATGATAGATTTTCTAAATCACCGTTAATCATTTTATCACCATTTCCACCCTCACAATCAGTTGTCATCAAATCATTATCGAGTCCATTTACATCACTACCCACTTCTGATGTATAAGCAGTTGTTGTTTCACCCCAATTATCTTGTGGTAAAATTTTCACTTCAATACGTTCATCATCTACATTTAAATTATTTACTTCTTCATTTTGATCATCACTTGTCGTCGCTATAGGCAATTCTTTTTGATGTTTTTTGAATTTATGTCGAAATGAACGTGTTGTTTGTGATACAAAATTAACATTTTTAACAGTTGATGTAGATAAAACGCCATTACGATAAGAAGATTTAGATGGTGGTGGTGGTAATGTTAATGTAGGAGGTTGTAGAGGATGAGAATGATTTGTGGAACCATTGGCTATTGTTGATTTTGTTGTCATTGGTTGGGATGAACTTTTTTCCAAACAATATGTGTCTGGTTCCATTATCTAAAACATAGCAAAGAAAGAAAATTTGATGTATTAAATAAACATAGAAGTCATCCGGACTCTGTAGTGTAAAACTAGACAAAACTATGTATATTTTATGGATACGAGACGCGCAAAAGTTCATAAAACTTACAAAATATTACTGGATCATGAATAAGACAAAAATGAGTTGGAAATTTAACCCTGTGAATCTCAAATTATTTTTGCTTGAGGATTGAATTGAAGCAGACCGTTATATTAACTTATTTTAGACACAAACTTATCTCTCATATCTCTCCACATAAGTGCATCTGTTATTAATTGACTGATTCCCTATTATTATTTCCCTATTATTATTTCCCTACTATTATTTCCCTACTATTATTTCCCATTCCAAAAGATTACGTACTAATTTTTATAAATTATGTTGTGAAAAACAATTATAAAACATGTATAACATTTTTTTCTACTATGGGAGTCAAAGGGTTAAGTCAGAAAAGCCTTATAATTCTCTCTAATGGCTAGCTAATCAAATTACATCTAATAGATTTTAGTTCATGATAAATGATCGTATGATATTGTCGCTAAGTTCTAACTATAAAAAAGTATAGTTTAAGTCGAGAGAAAAACAATTTTTTCCATGGTAAAATCCACTGCATCATATTTTTTCACAAATGTTTCTCGTAAAGAAATTTTCTATTTAATATCTAATGTTTCCATTTTTTTTTTTTTTTTTGTTTTGTTATAGAATTAATCAATTTTGGTCATCACTGTCGCTTCTCATTATAATTAAACTAGTCTCTCTCAAAAATGAGTTACCAAATTTTTCTTCAAATACTTACTGATGAATCATTGGTCATTAACAATTTGTAGTTAGTTCTATTATTATTTTGTATCATTTTCTTCTACTTCTGCTCTTCACCCTCAAAAAACGAACTATTTAGTCTTCTTCTTTTTCATTGCTCAACAAGATGAACACAAACCCATACATCAATACATATTATATATATGTACGTAATAATCACCTCATTGCAATCAATCTCTTTCCTATTTATGTGAATGAGTTTGAAATTGTACACACACATATATATATATATTTTTCTCTCTTTCATTTTTCTATTGTCTCGCTCTCTCTCTCTATGAATATATCTTCAGATCATGTTACTTTGCACTACTTTATATATGAAGACAAGATATCCGCAAGCAATTATTGAGTATTGTAAAGACTTACATCAAAGTTCAAGATAGAGTGTGCTATTTCTTAGTGGCACTCATTTTTCATACATACAGATGACTAATATGTAGATCGTTAGAACTAATAACTTTTTACTTAGATGTTAAATTTTCAGAAGTTTTAGAACTAAATAGTAAAATTTAAATGAAAAATATTTTCACAACATTCATTTTATATAAATAGTTTAAGAGAAAGCATTGTAAGATACATGTGTATTGGTCAAGGTAAATAACCTCACTTTAATCTCTTTTCACACACTTGTGCACTAGATTCTAAGCTTTAAATAGAGAGAAAGAAAAATATATGATTGTCTTATTTTTGTATTGTCTCATTTACAAAATCGATTCGATATTTCTTAAAATACAAAGATCTACGTGAAATGTAAAGTGTGTGTGTGTGTGCGTATATCTCTAATTACTTATATTCATCACTAAACGTGCACGACATTAATTTCGATAGATAACAATTCTGTGTATATATTAAACTAACAAAGTCAACCGTGAGAAAGAGACAAAAAAAAATTAAAAATGACATGTCATTCAATAGTGATGCACAGGCAATTATACAAAAAGATAGACGGTATGAATACATATTGACCTAACAGATTCGAAGACATTACTTTGATCGAAGACATTGATGGTTGTCTAATTCATATCGAAATACAGAAACCAGTCTTCCCGATAAACACCACTTCAACTATCTTATGATATGATGATAGAAAGAATATTTAAATTTGAAACATGTTGAAATTTTAATGTCTTGATTTCAACAACAATTTAAATAGCATAGAACATCATACAACAATTTTAACTAAGTTTCAATTTGTTTTTAATCAAATCTTTTTAATAATTATGTAGCGAAAGATATAAAAAGTAATGTACTTTAGTATAAGAAGATTCTTAAGAAATCATATCTATCTTTGATTAACTTTATTTCAAAATATTTTATTCGAAACAGTAATCTAAGCCGATTGTATTCAAATTTTATGTTTACATAAATCATTTGATCTGACACCTAATAATTTAACACGTTAATGAGAATTCAATTTGTTCAACCAATATCGCACGTTGATTTAAAGTATTTGTATATATATGTATGCATGTGTGTGCAAACATGTCGATAGACATATTAGAGTAATAGATAATAAAAGCAAAAGAAAAAAATAGATGGATACAACGATAAAAAAAGTTGATGAAAAGAGATTACACTCCCTCGTAGCTGTGTAACACATAAAGCAACATTTTATATTACACTTATTACAATTAAAAGAAAATTTTACTTCATTGACGCTTCGCAAAAAATTATGCAACAACAACAAAAAAAAGCTCATACCAATATTTGAATTAATAATTTGCATCTTATGAGCTAATAAGAGGTTCGAAAATTTTGAATACATAGTATAAAAAAATGTGATTTATTCATTTGATACTTTTCTTATAGGCAAACTAAATCGAACTGGTCTCTCTAGTCTTCTCAAATGGTTTTTATCGTGCACTCATGATAAACTCAAGTTATTGACAATTGTCTGTTATTTTCAGGAAAAAGAGGAACATCATCAGTCACTTTTTCATCACAAGAATCAGCTTTATCTACCTTGAAGGTTATTTGCTTCAACAATAAATTTTAGTTCATTGATAAGAGAGAATCAAGTGAGTGGAAAATATAGAATTAGTTCATAGGAAACTTACTGTATATAAAAATTTTGAGTTACGTATTGAATCTTTCATTTTTTGTTTATAATGCTGCTGCTGTTCATTCAAACAAAATCACTCTTTTATTTAAATACATGTTCATTTACTCATGTTTCGTTTCTTTCTCTCGAGAATAAAAAAAAAAACTGAAAAAAAGAAAGAAGTAACAACGCCTTTCTTTTTTTGTGCTGATGATATTTAACGAAAGATTACTGTACAATATGTACCAGAAAAATTCTCTCTTATTTAGAGTATCAAGTATTCTCTACAGAAACATAGAACTAATAAAGTTTTTTTAGTTAAACATGATACATGAAGGAATAAAAGAACTGATCAGTAAACAGTTGTAGACAATAGTAGAACAAAAAAAAAAGAAAAGAAAAGAAAAAAGTTGATCAGCATATTCATCTACGTGAGAAGTCGGGGTCAATACACTCGAAATATTTATTAAAACTTTAAACCACGCTTACAGAAACAAATACTATAAACAGTTAAACAATTTTCCTAATAGGTAAAAAAAATAGTTACGCAAATGATCTATAAAAACATAAAAACTTATCTACTATGATTGGTTTTACAAAAAAAAATCTCTACCATCTCTTAACAATATCGATATTTTAATTTAAATTAATAGTATTTATTCCTACAATTATAAATAGATGTTGACTTGAATAAAAGATATTTTTCTTATGCGTGAAACCAATCAAGACTATTCTATTGTGTTTGTATATCATCATACTCTGTACAATCTTCTCTCATTTTAATAAAGCCAAAAGCAATTTTTTTTTCTCATTTTACTTTTGTAGTTTTAACATAAACTATGTTTGACATATAGATTCAAATTTAAAAATGAATGAAAAGTAATTTTTCACGCAATCTTTAAACATAAAAGAAAATAGATAGGACGAATCAGCGAAATATAAGAGACAATAATTAATATCTAATTATCATGCACAGGTTATGAAGCAGAAATAGTTTATTGATCATAGAAAGAGATGAGACACATACTATTGAATACAAAATAAAAATATGTTTTTCCACAAAAATTTTGCGCGTATTAGACGCTATATAATTATTAATTAAAGTCTCAAGTTATACCGTTTAAAATACCTAAAGTCTATCTTGTAGCTCAACGAAAAAACATCAATTTTCGACAAAAATCTTACCCATAAAAAAAGGTCCGAAGACCCCTGACAAGGATATCGGAATTTCATTCAAATTTTTAATGAAGTTCTTGTACCATCAAAATTTTTTATGAAACTCCACGTCACAGTCATTCTGCAGGAGACATTTTAATGAAAGTTCGGTGAACGGGAGATAAGTAAAATACCCGAAAATATATATAATTAAGCAGAGAAGAATATGTATGTACCACTTACGAGGGAACCTCCTGAGGTGCTAAAAACCTAGTTCAATGGGACTATATTTAAAAGGCTCCCATTTAAATCCTAAGTAGTTTCTATTAAATGCTAAGTAAAAAGTTATTTTTTTCTAAGTAATTTATTAAAAATAATAATACTTTTTGCAGAAATGTGGCTTAGTGGTCTACTCTCATGCTCTCCACGCGCCTCCCCTAGACACACAAAAATATAGCTTACTAAAGTAGGACTTAAAAAAAATTAACTTAGCATTTAATAAAAACTACTTAGCAAAAAAATAGTTGCCTTTTTGAAATGTAGACTCTCCTGGGCTATGAAGAACCCCAATTTGGTTCGGGCGCAATCAGCTTTGTTGCTGAGATATCGAATTTTCCCCGTGGAACCTGAATTTCAAGCAAAAACGGAGTTTTGAATTTCATGTTGTAACGTATCACATATTGTGGCCCAGATCAATTGTAGTCCGAGCTGAAAATCTCTTTCCGCAGCGGTGAAAAAACTTTTACTATATGGGTACCAAAGATAAAGCATGGAGCAAGTTTTGAAAAAGTTCTTTCACCACTGCGGAAAGAGGTTTTCAGCTCGGCCTTTTTTCATCGGACTACAATTGGTCTGGGCCACAATATGTGATACGTTACAACATGAAATTCAAAACTCCGTTTTTACTTGAAATCCAGGTCCTAAATTTTTAAAAACAGTCCCATTCAAAAAGATTTTTAGCATCTCAGGAGATTCCCATGTTAGCGATAGATATACATTAGATAAAATTCTCGTGCCATTAAACAATTTTAATGGAACTCCTACTAAAAATTTTTTAATGAAAGTACCGGGACTTTGATTAAAAAAAGGGTTTAACGAAGGTCACTCAATTCCTCATTATTCAAGCAAGAAATAATGAAAAGAAATGCTATGAGTGTTTAAGAAGTTATATATGACGTTTTAGGTATGTGAAAATGAGTGGTAAATTTCGATCTATTATCAATTCTAGTTAGATATATCTCATTCATTACACATCAACGCACATGATCCCTTTTCTGACCTTGACTAATCTCAAATTGATATCCTAAAAAGTTATCTCAACGAAAGTACATTGTCGAAACAAATGACGGAGTGTTTTAAATGAGATTTTGAACAAAGTGAACTTTCTCAATTTATCAAAGATTCTCCTTCTAAATGTGTAGAGTGAGTATTCAGTTTGCGTAATGTCGATATACTCTGATAGAATAAATATAATTACAATATTTTGTTTCTCTGTTGAGGAAATAAAGAGATCCAGTGCTAGGTACTTTTACAGATCGATCACCTCTCTACCACTACCATCACTCACTTTTACCACTTGGGAGGTGATCGATCTGTAGAAGAACCGATCCAGTTCTCTAACCTCGTAGCTAACTCTACAAAAAAGTCTAATTCGATCACATTCTTACTGATGTGCTTATTGAATTTTTCTTGATACCAACTCAATTCTTTTTCACAAAAGAAAATAATCTGTTTGTGTATCAAAAAATGGCCGAATATTCGTCTCGCTTCTGCGAACAACTGATTCCAAGCTGACATAAAACTTACGGACACTAAAGTTGAATTTCATTCAGCGCAATTCGGCTTAGTCCTCTCCACTGAGGAATGCGATGATCGTCAAAGAACACATAGGTTACGTTACCCTTTCAAAATTAAATGAGCCGCATAACACATGACAACAATATAAACTACCAAACAAATATAAGCAGAATAATAAATAAACAGACAAAAAAAGTTTCTCTTTGCTGTTTTGAACAATGAACGTGGAGTAGACCAATCAAAAATGATCGCTATGACTCTGTCGACATCACTGTATTATTTTGTAACGTTCAGTAGTTGTCGCTTTTTGAAAGAATTCTAAGAAAAAGGACAGCTACAGTGATGCAAGGAAATGTGTCTGCAGCGTCGCATCTTCGCTGCTCAATTAGTGATGTTAGTCGATGAAATTATTGGCTGTAGTATGTGAGAAGCCTGAAAGGGTCATCAGAAAATAAAGAGAAGTTAGTTTCTTTCGAGTGGCGGTAGAGTATAGTGTCAGAAGTTTTTCAAGTGATGGTTAAGAAAAGAAGTTGAAGTCATGTAAAAAAGAACAGAATAACTTGATCTAACACAGACCTAGAGTAAGCACGATCAACCGATGCCACTTCCATCCAGTGATTCGTCTGACATTCTCGACAGATTATGCCTGGATTTTCTCCTGAGAGATTTTTAAATTTTCCATACGTTTTCATTATAAAAACCGAATTTGCTTTATTAAAAACTTGAAAAATGTTTAGTGTTCAAAAAAAACACGGTGAAAACATACTTTTCGACAATGGTATTGGACGAGCAAAAAATGCGATGTATAACTCAAAATTCCGATACTTATTTATCATTTAAAGTAGTAGATGACATAGACAAAAGAGACTAACTTGAACACAATTTATATTATGGTCATACTCTTTTCAATATGATTAACTTACATTGGACTGAGACCAATTGAATTCAATAATCAGTAAAGAAAAATCCAACTACTTACCTCTTTGTCGTTTTACTTTCTCCTACTCATTAATAACTGATGATTTTCTATTTTAATCTATAATATTTCCCGCCACACTTCTTATTTGCAACGTAGACAACTCTGTTAAGGGTACCCCTCCCCTATTTTTGGGTTTTCCGTAAAAATGCTGTGAAATAAAAACTAAAAGTCGCTGGAGCTTCGTATTCTTAGAACTGGAAACTCAACGGAGCACTTTTTCGCTTTTGCTTCAAGTTTTTAACTATTGCCGTTCACCAGTTTTTCAGAAAACTCTGTTTTTCATTGTGTCACATTAGAACTCCCTAAAATTTCATCCGATCGAGTTCAAAAGTTAATCCGAGGTACTCAATGTCATAGCGCAGAGGTATAATTCTGGAATTTTATTTTAGACCTTTCTTTACCGAGTTATAGGGTTTCTAAAATTAAAAAACTTGGTTTTTGAGACGTTTTCGAAAATTTTCCCTATAACTCGCCCAGGAAAGGTCTCAAAAAATTTCCTAAAAATCACCTCTGCGGAATGACCTTGAGTACCTGTGGTAAAATTTCGAACTCGATCGGATGAAATTTTAGGGGGTCCTAATGTGACACAATGAAAAACAGACTTTCTGAAAAACTGATGAACAACAATAGTTAAAAACTTGAAACACAAGCGAAAAATGCTCCATTAAGTTCCCAATCAGTTCTGAAAATATGAAGCCCTAGCGCCTTTTAGTTTTTATTTCACAGCATTTCTACGGAGAGCCCAAAAATAGGGGACGGGTAGCCTTAACTGTTGCTCTTTTTATAATAATGTTCTTGAATCAGGGACCATTGCAGGACACGGCTACCCTATTGTCCTGCCGCCCTGCTCTGTCATGTCTTGCCAGGCAGGGCAACAAAAAATTCCTTGATTTGCCCTGCGAGAGATTCATTTTTCAGATTTTCAAGCTTCTTTTTAAGTAAACTTTTGAGATCTTTCGTATATAGGAAAATAAAAATGACAGCTAACTTTTCTAAAATTAAAACAAAAAAGATTCTGTTACGCACCAGAAACGCATCTAGTATTTGTGATTAATTTCTTCAAGATAAAGTCTTTTAGGTTATTGAGAAAAATTGAATATTGAAAATTATAACTTTTTTTAAAATTTCCACGCCGCCGCCACCTAAGGCGGAAAATGTTTTTTTAGTTTTTTGCCGTCGCTGCCCATAAAGTAATCGGCTAACACCTCTAACTGCAGGGCAGGGCCAAAAAAGTTTTATGAGCAATTTTCTGATAGGGCAGGGTGAAAAAAGTTGCCGTGTGGTAGTCTCCGTCTTGAATAAACAATATATCACGGGATAGAAGGAAGCTTTTTCAAAGTAGCTGACTGACGTAGCTTTAAAAGAGCGTTATGTTCTCTTTCAATCCTAAAATAAGAATAAAATGAAATTCAAAATATATAAAACTAATTTTTTAACAATACAACAAAGATGAAGAAAATAATTTTATGTACACATACGAAGAGAAAAGTAAATAAATAAATAAATAAATTTTATTTTTATTCACGTCGTTGCGTAGTTTAATGTGGAAGCTGGAATTCAAAAATAAAGTTCTGCTATTTTTAGTCATATATGTATCAGAAAATTAGACTATCATTAATTCATTTGAAATAATAAATTATCCTTAAACAATGATGAAGAAATGGTCGTTTTTCTTAAACTTGTATATTTTAAATTTCTTCTGCTATGGTTGAAGTGGGAGCATGACTATTTCGCTTATCATCGTGATGTTTTCCTTTAACTTCTTCTAAACGACTTCGAAATGCATTTATAACACGATACTAAAATAAAGAACATAAAAATGAAATATAAGAATGATAATAATTAGAACAGGTTACTTGCACTTTAGACTTACTTCTGCTTCTAGTCGTTGTACACTCTTCCGTAGTAACACTTTTGTAAACAAACTTGGTGTTGGTGTTATACCAGTTGAACGAGTTAAATGACCGATGGTACGGTAGACGTTTGGTGTTGATGAAGTGTCTGAATTTTCGTGTTCGAGTTCATATTCTTCTTTATTACTGTCTTTGTCCGATGTCTTTCTTTTTCTTGTATGTTCTTCATTGTCCAATTTTTTTCGATAACAACAAAAACAAACTTTTCTTCCAATTAGACCAAAAAATTTTTTGAGTGGAGCGATTGGAATTGTATTTAAAACCTAAAACAAGAATTTGTTAATTCAATTCTAATTATGATATTTTATTGATTATGTGTTAAAATAATAATAGAGAGGATGCACTTTTGCTGACCTGTTGTGTCAAAAAAGGTCGTTTGCTCCAAATAATCTGATTTTAGTATTATTAAAAGTTATTATCAATTGTTAAATCGGATGATTTGAAACTATTTTTTCATCTTTAAAATAATTAGAAAATAAAAGTTAAAATAAAATTAAGATGAGTATCATCAACAGGATATTCTCTCGATTGGTACTTGATTGGCATTGTAAAAGTACATAGTATCAAAGAGCAATATCAGAAAGTGTACAATGCGAATCGAGATTAAACCCCATCAATATATATTTTTATTAATATAGCGAAAGATTTAACAATTATAATTTATTATTTAATCTTTTATCACAAATAAAATGTTTGAATATATTACTTCAATTTGAGTAGACAAATTCTATTCTGAAGTAATCTATGTAATCCGGATCGAAATCCAAAAAAATAATTTTCTGTAAGAATTTTCAGATGAGAGTCCAAAAAGCGTACAGAAATTTGCTGTTTTTATTGATTTTTTTCATAATCCATATCAGAGATCGTCACGGGCCGAGAAAACCCATGGGGATCCACAGACTGGGCCTACGTTTTTGAATCTTGTTTACGGACCGGGTTGCAATTTAACGGCTCGCATGCGAGCCCAGCCTTTTTCCCAAAAAGTCGGTAAAATTACAAGACAACATCAAAAGGCAACACTCATATCAAATGTGGGAAAAAGACTATCTTCTCTTAAAAATGTCGCTGACGAAGTTGACTGTCCTTTGAGTATCTGTTCTATAGGCTCATGTTTCTATAAACTTATATCTACTGATATATGACCGAAATCCAGTGCTTTTAATATCTTCTTTGTTTCCATACTAATCTAGATTCTGATTCTACGGGCTACCCCGCAGGCCGACCCGTAGAATGTAGAATGCATTTGGTCCGGCCCGTACGGGTCGCTCCGAAAAATGTACGCGTTCACTTCAAAATTAGCCAAAATTAGCCGGACACGGACCGGGTCGTAAAAACGTGGTCCGGGATGATCTCTGATCCATATTCCTTTCCTGTATTTTTGTCTGTTTCTGCATATCCTGATAAACTTATCTTTTAATCAGGATTTTCGATCAGAGGGTGCTGGGAACTCCCCCAAAAAATGTTTGAACTTACTGGCAATGAATAGCATCAAATCTCTAAATCACATGTGATTTAGAGATAGGCAACATATGTTGATTCCCTATCAAACATTACTATAGTAATGCTTGATAGGGTCGCTGGTGCAATATATTGTACCAGCGAAGAGACTAAACACAACATAAATCATAAAAACAAGACAGATATATAATGCAGAAGTGCAACAAGACATGCAGATTTATGACATCCATATAATATTTTTTCAAGCTACATGCCTCGTACACAATTAATGAATTTCTCTTGAGAATTTTTCAAATAATACCTAATCTCTAATCGAGAATGAACGTAAAACTATTAATATTTTACTAATTTTCCATATTTTTTGTTGGTAAGTGGACATTTTGTTCAAAGATCATATCTGCTCGCAGCCGAGTTTTTCCGTGTACAGCTCAATCACAAATCTGACTAAAACTTAGAAAATTTTTCAAAAAACCAGTGATACTTATCTACTATGTGGATCAACAACAAAATAGTGATTACAAGTTGCGAAATTTACACCGGATTTCTGTTTTTCACAGGAATTGCGAGGGACTTTCCTGCGAATCTCACGAAAGTTAAATCTCGACTAATGAATGAATTATCGAAAGAAAAACTTTCTCCCCATCCTTATTTTGTCGACATAAACGTTATGTTGTATCGAAAATAAGTAACTTAAACAAAAACTAGAAATTGTACTAGATTTGTACAGTACATTTCAACACGTGCGATTAGAAAAAAACGATTAAAATCATGACTCAAAGGCAAATTATGACTGAAATCTTGGGTATCATTGATAACATAACGGGTAGTCCAGAAGAAACTATGGTCTTAGTAATTTCTGTTTCTCTCCTTAGATTGTAGACTGTTCACTTTTTACTAAAGGATTCCTCATTCATTTCTCTACAAAATGGTGTATAGAAGATGATCCTGAGATTCTAGACGTTGTCTTAATGGAACAAAAATCGAAATGTTCCATAACTAAAAAACTTTAACTCGAAAAGTATATTTCGTCAATATGAACTTGAACGTAAACGTTGTATTCATAACAAAGGGCCGAAATGTAGTCCTTGAATTCGTCTATCGATTGGTTGTAATGTGAATTTTCTGTCGTTATTTTGTGTTTTCAGTAATGTTTTTCAAAAAAGCCCTATGATCATTTTTTTTCAGCTTTTTAATCTGCATTTTTGGCTATTAGGCTCATTCTTGCATCATTTTAAAGATAAATATTTGATCTACTCGATTCACATGCGAAATGTTTGATGTGGCTTTTCTAAAACTAATCGAGATGCTAAAACTAGCACATATTGTTTAATCATGGATGCCAATCATTAACTAGACATTATTACCACATCAAACCGATGGAGATAAGATGAGTCATGCGCCATCTAGAAGAGGACATCTAAATGTGCCAGAAAATGATCTGATATCTTCTTTCTATCACTTTCAAAATAGAATTCAATAAACGGTCTACGATCTAAGAGAGAGGTGAAACGATCTAAGAGAGAGGTGAAAAACAAAAAATACTAAGACTACAATTTGTTCTGGACCATCTGTTATACATGTTTATTGTATCGTAATGATCAATCAACATCGTTTAAAAACTGCGATTAGTCACACATAAACAGCCGGAGTAACAAATAATAACTTTAATTCTAAACTTTAAAATAAATTCAGTACAAGTAAAAAAAGACTTTCTAGAAAATATCCGTGCCATCGTCAGCAATTAATAGCACACTTTTCAGAAATTTTATGATTTTCGACCAACATTAAAGTGGCTTAGAGAATTTTTGAGAATTTCACGAGGAATTTTGCCATTAATGTAATACATTGTGTGGTGGAAGCGTTGTCAGAAACATCAAAGTACAATAAAAACGATTTATTCTTGAAGCCAAGCATCTGGGGTTCTTCGCTCAGACCAATCTCATAGCCATAAGTATGGTGTACACTATATCTGCTTTTTTTCTTTGCCACGATTGATTCAAACATAGGTATGAAAGCGAAAGTGATAATTTCCACTTGGAAAATTTTCTGGCCACCGTTCCGAGAGGATTCGAATGTTTCTGTTTTATATCATTTGAGATAGTGAATTATCCGCATTTTTCAGATAGATTTTAGGAAAGAAAATGAATTAAGTTTACTGAACAACAAAATATTTTTATAAGTAATTATGTTTGTACGCCAGTGGCGATCCATGAGATTTGTTTTAATGATCAGCTAATCAATCCGTCACAACTCACGGCGATTCGAGAGAAAACTGCGATTTCATGGTGTATAATCGGGATTCTAATCGCAGTTTTCTCTCCCATCGCTGTGAGCTATGTTGGACCGATTAGCTGATCATAAAAAAAACCTCATGGGGACTGGCTCTTATGTTAATTGAATAGTCAACACAGTGAACATATTTAATTTCAATGCGTTTAAGAAATACTGACAATAGTAATCGATATTATGCCTCTAACTTCATTAATTTCATAAACAACACGTTTTAAAACAACAAATATTTATAACAATGACATACATTTAAATGAAACAAGTATTAATTAAACATGATTATTTATCTGTTGATAAAATAGTTCAATCTATCGAGAATAGATTTAATAGTAATTTAAAAATGATCATTATTTTTTTATTCTAGTAGTTATACCGATGGGAATTTGTTAAATAACACTTTATTAACATTCTATTGCAATGAAGTTAAATATAAAAATGTTAGAACTGATAAACAAATTTTATTTCGAAAAACAGAGTTGCTTGATCAGTATATATAACTTATTTAAAGATGAATAAATAAATTCATTAATAATCACGCAAAAATTAAATACAGATCATTATCAACATATAATTGTTGGAAAAATATATTCATGGCAAGTATAATAAATTATTAAAATTATTAAAAAGTTTAGATATTTGTAAGACAAAACACTATTGTTATTACCGAATGATTATGATCATTTTGTTCAAATTCAGCATCCTCGACAAACTCTTCTTATTTAATGAGTTAGATGTATTAGGAAACAGTATTTTTACCAATAATTTTCATCATAAAAATGTTCATTATTTCAATTTTCAAGTTGTTTCTCCATAGAAAGATTATTCAGATTCTTATTTAAAAATTATTGATGATTACTGTCGACTCAGTTACAGCACTCCACAAAACTACCGATACCTCTGTAACTCAAGACCCACGATAGCTGTGGGCTTCTAATTTTGTGTGGTCATAGCTCGTACCGAATGCTCATTACCCACCGAGTTTGGGCTTCTTTTACTGGATGGTTCTTGAGATATAAGAGATTTATCTCTTTTCCGTAAAATATCAACAGCTCCTGACCTAAGAGAGATGTAGACTAAATGTAGCCACGACTCTGCTCTATCTACGATGTGAATTTCGTGAGTTGGTTTGTTAGTAGCCAGTAAAATACAGCTATTTTACGGGGGTTTTTTTGTTGAAAATTCGAGCTGCTTTGCGAAAAAAAACTCACAACTCAGTCTAGAAGCATCATTTTGACTTCAAATTCGTACCAAAGGCTCTAGTGTCTGTAGATTATCTAGCCAAAGTATAAAGGTTAAGTATTGCGTGGTTCGGGAAATTCATTAAGAAAGAGCACCCACGATTGAAACATACGTATTAGAGCGTAATGTCGTAATCATGAAAAAATAATCATAGAAACCTCTGGCTTCGAAAAACGTATGTGAAACTTTTGTCAAAAAGATTACACACCTCTGACCTTCGCTATTTCACTTATTTTTCTCCCTTTTCACTTTCTTTATATTTTCAAGCAAAACTAATAACATATGTGAGACCAGCAGACAAAACTAGATCGAATTGCATACTTAACATTCGATTTTCGAATAAAAAATTTTATTAAAATTTTCTCTCTAGTTTAATGATGAACGTTTAATCTTCCTAACAAAAGTTTCACATACGTTTTTTGGAACCATAGGTCTCTATAATTATTTTTTCATGATTATGATGTACATCGAATACAGATTCTATAGAAGAAAGAGTGGTCCATAGTTCCTCACCCTCGCTCGAATACGTATGTTTCAATCGTGAGTGCTCATTCTCAATGAATTTTCAGAACCACACAATACTTAACCTTTATACTTTGGCTAGATAATCTACAGACACTAGAGTCTTTGGTGCGAATTTGAAGCAAAATGATGCTTCTAGACTGAGTTGTGAGTTTTTTTTCGCAAAGGATCTCGAATTTTCAACAAAAAAAAAACCCGTAAAATAGCTGTATTTTACTAACTACTAACAAGCCAACTCACGAAATTCACATCGTAGATCGAGTTGAGTCGTGGCTACATTTAGTCTACATCTCTCTTAGATCAGGAGCTATTGATATTTTACCAGTAGGGTCTGATTTTCACAATTATGATTTGTGGAAAAAACTGATGATGTTTTTGGGAAAGATTATTAGATATTCAGACCGGTCTCGAAAAGCTTGGTTTTTTCCAGTATAAATTGAAAATATGCATTCTTCTAGAAATGGGGAAAAGGAAAGGCGGAGGGGGTGGGAGATGAGAGTGAACCCCTCCCTGAAATTCGGCACCGTAAAAGAAAACAGAAAGATACAGAATATAGACACCAAATAGTGAATTTAGTTTTGCAGTTTACTGCAAAGCTAAGTTCATGTATTCGTACAAAAATTAATTTTGTGTTTTCGATCGTTTTAGTTTAGAATACTATAATGGAATATTTTTCCGCTTGTATTCTGACAAAACAAAGCCTATACCAAAACAGAAAGATAGCTGAAGATCGGAATATCTATGTATCTGTACTTCTAGATATCTGAAGAACTGCAGACCTTAACATTTGTATATCGGAACATCTAGATATTATGTAATTTCAGATGTTCACAAATCAGACCGATTCCTGTTTTACGGAAAAGAAATAAATTGGTTATATCACAAGAACCAGTAATCCAGTAAAAGAGGCCTAAACGCGGTGGGTGATCAGCATTCGGTAAGAGCTATGACCACAAAATTAGAAGTCCCTAGCTGTTATGGTTCTTGAGTTACAGGGGTGTCGCTACTTTTGCGGAGTACTGTATACTGTTTTGAATAAAAATATTATCGATCGGCTGTACAAATATTTTTGTATAATTGCATTGTTAAGGCAACTCTTCTTTGTTGCCAGAGATGAAAGAAAGCAAAGGTCCGATCGAATCCAACAGATAGAACATCGAAAACGAAAATCGATATATTTTTGTCTAAAATTTTCTGACTTGTTCTACTGTGGATTTCTTTTGGAGACCTCGGTTTTCATCTAGTCATACTGCGACCTCTCGAAAAAATGATCTAGTCGAGTCCACAGTTTTACGACAGATGCTTCAGACACTATCTCAGGGTCTAAATTTTTGTTCGGAGATATACTGAAAAAGCTAAAAATCTTAACTATTTTTACAGGATTTTTCGTAGATTTCACGAAAGTAAGTATATTTGTCGAGGAAAAAATTTAGAACCTGTGATAGGGTCTGAAGTCCCTATCCTAAAAATGTGAACCCGATTAGGTCTCGAGTTCTACTTTTACCAACAGGCTAAAAAAAGAGGGTTGCTCTTTAGTAATGGAACAAAAAGATTGCGTGCTTAACGGTGTATGAATAAGGACTCAAATAAACCGATGAGGTCTTTTTATCGATTAGAACGGTGTCTAAAGGCGTGTAAACAATGAAATAACAGAAACACGTTCAGTCGATGCTTGAAATGTGATTTTAAACCGTTAAATCTATACACAAAATGCGTTTCTGTCACTTCGTCGTTTACACACGTTTGGATACCGTTTCAATCGATGAAAAAAGCTCATGGGAAATGAGTTTTACAGTAAATTATAAAAGTCATTTTATTTTTTCTACATGCCTGATCGAACATATATATAACTACATACCTGTTGCCATATCAATGATCCAACACCAAACAGCATGCACCAAGCCCATTGTTTTATATTTAATCTAATACAACTAAATACTGCACCACCAAATGTAACAATAATTATCTAAAATACATAAAAACAAAAATGTAACATTTTTCGTTTATTTTTCTCTGTAATAAAACAAATTTAACCTGTCCAGCAAAACACGATATCCATATAACATAGAAAAATGGATTTCGAAATATTCCATTGAATACATTTCGTTCACCATGTAACTTTCGACAATTTATCTCATTAAATAATGTCATTAGAACGAATGCATTAAATACAACTGTAAATTGTTCACTCGGCTCTCTGCCTAATTCTGGATGTTCATTAATTAGACTCACAGTCGATGGTCCACAACGTAAAAGCGAAGGCCACACATCACCTTCAACAAGAATACACTTATAAAATAAAAAGATATTAGAGAAAAATGGATTGTATCACACCTGCCCATAATATAATAAACATAATAGTTAACTGGTAGAGAGCGTGTCCAGTGATATTTCGTAGCATAAACGCCGATATAATCGATTTTGTTCTTCCATAAGGTTTTCGCTCTAATAATACTTCGGTGGGTGGTTCAGTGGCCAGAGCTAACGAAGCCAATGTGTCCATGACCAGATTCACCCATAACATTTGAACTGCTCGTAATGGAACACTCTATAAAATAAAGATGTAGCAAAATGACGCTATAGTAAGTCAAATTTCATTTTCAAAATTTTGATTAGAATCCACATGTCAGACAAAGTAGCAAACCTGTTTTACATACGCTAATGGCTGCTGCTGATACTACGGATATAATACCAGCCGATAAATTAGCGGTTAATTGAAATTGTAAAAATTTTGCTATACAATCGTAGACATTTCGTCCCCACATCATTGCTTTGACAATACTTGAAAAATTATCATCAGTTAATATGATGTCACTCGCTTGTTTGGCTACATCTGTGCCTTGAATACCCTAAAAGTTTAAAATTATTAATACAATCTATTTTAATAGATTTTTTATATTAACCATGGCAAATCCAACATCAGCTCGTTTAAGAGCGGGTCCATCATTTGTACCATCACCAGTTACAGCTACAACTTCACGATGATCCGATGCTTGACTTTCAACAATCCCATTAACCAGTATATACTTATCTTGAGGTGATGAACGTGCTAGCACACGTAAATTAGGCCAAACTTCATCTAATTTTTCTTGAGTTATCTAAAATTAAGAAATATCAATTAAAATATCGAATCATGGTAGATACCTGATAATCTTTTTAACATATGTAATATGTATAATTTTAAATTCAATAAAATTAAAAAACCTTAATTAAATATATTAAAATAAAATTTTTGTTTGGCACATAAAAATAGAAAATGATTAAAAATTTTAATTGAAGTTTTTTATATAAGATTAGCAATTCTCGGCTATAACGAACAATTCTAACTAGGGACGTCGGTTCTCGAGTTAGAACCGAAACGAAAACAACCGCGATTCCGATTCCGAACTTAGAACAGAACCGCGGTTTTCGGTTCTCAGCTTAGAACCGGAAAATAATTTTTCAGGCAGTAATAATTCAACGAAAATAGAATTCATTTTATAGTAAACGAAAGGATTCTTTTAAAGGATGATAGGCAAATATATCTTTTTCCAACTTTGTCAATAGTGTTTTCATTTTGTTAAAAGAAAGGGAAATCACACAGTTTCGGTTCCGAAAAAAAGGAATCGTCTAAGAAATAATTTATGAGAAGCTCGATGTATTGAATTCTACATATAACTGACTTTCAAGATGATTATAGCCACTACTACATCATATTATTATTATATATTAGTCATAAAAATCAGAAAATTAGATTCGAACTTACTTTACCAGATGAATCTCTTATACGTTTATTAAATTCTTTTCCTTCCAAAACGAGAAATTTGTCTGATGGTTTTATTATTTTACATTTCATTGCTATTGAACGTGCTGTATTTAAATTATCACCAGTGACCATGCGAACAATAACGCCAGCTTTCTGACATTTTTCAATTGCTTCTGGAACCTTTTAACAAAAAAGTTAAAGTGAGCAATATTATCTTGTGATTTCTATCCTCTTACCTCTGGTCTAACTGGATCTTCAATACCCACAATACAAATACACGTTAAATCTTTGACTACACCTTCTTCATCATCCAAATTTCCTTTATCTTTACCCATATCTTTGTAAGCAATACAAATCGTTCTTAAGCCATCACTAGCCATTTTCTCAATAATATCGTGCATTAATTTTTCTTTTTCATCATCTTTTAGATCTACTGGTTTTCCATTTGAATCAATAATCAATTTACATCTAAAATTGAACATCATTTTTGACTCTTATACTTGAAGAAACATAAATAAATTCTTACTTTGTCAGCACCATTTCTGAAGCACCTTTGGTATAAAGTCGATAACCATCATCTTTTTCAATAACGGTACTCATCATCTTGCGTGCTGAGTTAAATGTATAAACTTTAACTAATTTATTTTCAGGTATATTTTGACGTATATCATCGTATGAGCCTCCCCATGTTTGAACGAAATCAAGGAGAGCACATTCAGTTTTATTTCCAACTTGTTTTGGTAATCCACCTTCGTCACCAGCGTCCTATAACAAATGACAATTATTTTACATTATTTCTTCGATTATTAAACAGATGTACTTCAATTTTTGATGTATAATTTGTGTTAACTGTCATTGCTTCATGTGCCAGCGGTACAATTTCTTTGTTTATTTCTTCCACTTTTGGTAATTTATCGTAATATTTTTGACCAATATAACATTGTACAACTGTCATTCGATTTGTTGTTAATGTTCCAGTTTTATCTGAACAAATTGTAGTTGCATTGCCCATTGTTTCACATGCATCCAAATGTCTCACCAAATTATTATCAGTCATCATTTTCTAGTAAAAAAGTAAAAAGTATCGTATAAATAAAGCTGATAAACATGTTCATACGTACTCGAACAGCGTATGCTAATGCTAGTGTAACAGCCAATGGCAAACCTTAAAACAAATAAAATTACAATAATTGAATTCCTTTACGATGTTATGTTTTATATCTACCCTCTGGAACGGACACAACAACGACTGTTATTGCTTGAATCAAAAAGTAAACAAAATAACGCACATCCTCTGGCTTTCCACCTCTTCCCCCTTGAACATAGGTTGTTATACAAAAACGAATTATCAAACATATAAGCGTTAAAAATGCGGCACTCATGCCTATAAACGAAAATATAAGTTGCTTATTTAATACGTTTTAGTTAATGGAAACAGTATTATCTTACCTATATAACCGATAGTAAGAGCGATTCGAGTAAGTTTTGTTTGTAAAACAGCTAAAGTAAAAGCAACATAAAACAGTCAAAAGTAAAATTTAACTATTTATCAATTTTGATCTTACATTTATGTTTCTTATCGTCAGAACTATCCTCTTCATCATCTGAATCATCATCTTGTTCTTTTGCCATAGCTGCCATAGCTGGTGGCACTTTTTTTTTTTCATTATCACCATCTTTTTTATTTTTATCGGTTTTGTTCGCAGTATTCTTATTCTCCGAGGACTTTTCATCCTTCCCATCATGTCCAGAAGATCCAGAAGATTTTCTACTGTCTGAATTAGCGCCTTTTTCATTTTTCTGTTGTTGTTCTTGTTTTTCATTAATCTTTTCAACCTTAACTTCTTGTTCTTTTCTGGAATTTGCTGCTGGTGAAGATGGAGTTTTTATTAGTTTCTTGGTAGTTTGTTTTTCTTTTTTCTCATCATCATCTGATGTTAAAGCTAAATAAAATAAAAAGTGTCTTAGGAATGATTAAAGTCTTGAAACTTCTAGATTCGTTAAACAGCATGCAGACTAACCGAAAAAAAGTCTCTTACTACGTGCACTCCTGTTACGTTGAAAAAACGCAGTTTGGTTAAATCGAAATTTTACAGAAGTTCAGGCGCAACTTACGGTTTTCGAATGTTTTCCGTTTTGTTACCGTTTACTATTCTACACCATAAAAGGCGTTGTTTTATCTTAATAGTGGTACCAAAAATTCAACAAAAGTAAATCACCGTGAAACGTTAATTTGGGTCCGAACTTTATCCAAAGCTTTTAGCAAACATATCGCCAGAACGAAAAATTTTCGAAAGCTTGTTCTGTCTAAACCGATTGCAGATTTGTCTTCGCAATAGTCGATTATCTGGTGCGCGATAACTTCTAGAGTGGGGTACTTTAGAAAAAATTTTCGACAATATGAGTTTTTGAAAACTTTTTGAGCAAAATCATGAGAAGCTTTTTTTCTAAAGCACCCTAATTCAGAAGTTATCGCGCACCAGATAATCGACTATGCTGAAGACGAGTCTACAATCGGTTTCGATCGAAAAAGTTAGCTTTCCAAATTTTTCGATCTGGTGATATATGCGGTGAACCGCTAGCAAGACATCGACCTCTAACTCGGCTATGGAAAATGAAATTATAATGAATATCAAGAAACAAATTAGAATAATCAATGAAACCTATACTATATATCAGTTTTTAAACAAAGGACAAAAGATGTCGCTAACTTCTAGTCCTAAACGCTTTTGGTATGCTTGAAAGTCAAAAGGAAATCTTTAGATAATACATTACAAGTTTTATACTTTGCTACGTTAGGCCCTGTCTACACTACAAAAGTTAAAGCAGCATTAAGCAATTCTATTGGCTGAAAGTTAGTTTAAGCTAATAGAATTTCTTAAAGCTCCTTTAACTTTTGTAGTGTAGACAAGGCCTTAGGTATTGTTGTTTTTACAGTAGAGATGGTTGCCACTGTTTTCGCTTTTTGAACTAGTTAAAATTTCACGCTACTTTTTAGCAGAGAAGAATTTTCCATTCAGTGAGTACTGGAGATCGTATCTTGAAAACACGTAAGTCAAAGTCCAGACTCAAATCACACTTAACTGTATAAAATTAGCACGTAAGTGCACATAACGAAGACTTAAGTCTGAGTTAAGTCCAAATTTTGACTTAAGTTTTTTTGTGATACGGTCCCCCCCGGTTAGTTTTTTTTCTCGCCTCCTCCAGTGATAAAGTTGAGTTAAGAAATGACAAGAACTGACCATCTGCACATACTCACGTTATATATCTCGCATGCTAACATCACCTAAACTGATCGGATAAACCTAAACAAGTACCAAGAACTCAAGAGGTGTTGTTTCAGTCAAGGCGAGAGAAGGAGATAAATAGACATTATGTCATTTATAAATCAGTCAAGGTACAACATGATACATTGATTGGAGAAGGAAAAGAGGAGCTTCAATAGTTTTCAGCCACTCTAAGATCTATAAAATGCCTCACTTACATATTTCTGATATTTTGTCTTTTTGTTCGTCTTCATCTGACAAATCCTCTTCTTTATTCTCCTGTGCTATTGGAAAATACTCTCCTGTTTCATCATTCTCGTCTTGTTTCTCTTCGGAGTTTTGTGTATTTGACTTAGGAGAACGTTCCCTTGAATCCTCATTTTTCTGTTTATTTTTTATGTCTTTGTCCTTTGAATCGGTGTCGTTCTTCTTGTTAGTTTTGGTCGGCGAAGGTTCTTTGGTGGCGTTATCTTCCTTTTTTGATGTTGAAGAATCTCTTTTCGTTTTACTGTCATTTGGTTTTTCACGCTTTTGTGTGCTAATTTCATCTTCTTTAGAATTATCTTCATCAACATGTGCTTCTCCTTTTTCTTCCTGATTCGGAGAAACTTTTGTGGAGGCTTGACCGTTCTTTTTATGTTTGTTCTTCTTTTTATGTTTGCCCTTCTTCTTTTTAGATTTTTTGTCTTTACTCTGTTCTGTGGCTCCTAACAATGTCATGATGTTTCCAACCTGAGAATTGAGACCAACACCAACAACTAACATTCGACCACTACCTTCCATAACGTGCGTCCCTGAAAAACGCATAGGTTTGCTCTAAAATTATCGAACATTTAATGGATATATTTACCGGAGAGCAATTCGATGTTTTCCGAATCATTTTTCTTGACTAGATCAGTTTCACCTGAAAATAATCTTTAAAATATTAGAAAGAGCTGAGTGAAAAAATATTCAAATTTAGAAAGCCAACAACAACAATTCACAAGAAACCCTTATTTTCGTACCTGTTAAAGATGATTCATCGATTTTCAAATCACTTGCTTGGACAACGAGGCCATCAGCAGGTAGAAGATCACCTTTAAAAGTGAAACAAATGAAGTATTTTGTCAGAAGTAAACAAAAAAGTTACTCGTTTCATTCGTTAAATGACTACCATTATCGTTGTTTATTGCATTTTTACTTACCATATTTAATAAAACAGAGATCTCCTACAACGAGATCTGTAATGGGTATTTGTTGTATTTTATTATCTCTCACAACCGATGTTTGTTGATCTTTTTCAATTTTAGCTTGTAACCCTCGAAACTGGCGTTCTTTTCGCCAATCATTTAACGCGGTTACAAAAACAACAACGAAAACAGCAACTAATATTGCAACCCCTTCAATCCATTCGAGATTCCCTAAAATAAAATAAAAACTGAAGTAGATATTAATATAACCGCTTTGTAAATCTCTCCGATCAATGTATCTCGTGACCGATTTATAAATGACATAATGTTTATTTATCTAGTAACCAGGGCATGAAATTTGACAAACGATTTGTTTTTCGTTTTTAACGATCGAAAAATACGTTAAACGTTTTAGAGTTAATGCTATTGTAATTGTGTTTCACAATGAAAGAGCTTCTGTTTTGATGCTTCGAGGAATCAGTCTTACTCCGTATTAAGAGAAGATCCGGGAGAGTCTTGGGAGAGAGAACATGAATGTCTAGTGTTTGTAGCAAAAGGCTTTTTGAACTGTCAGATATTAAAAACTCCATTCTTCTCAAAGAAAGGTCGTGGAGTACTGGGTTGATCCAAAACTGTCAAGAACACTTAACTCTATCATACACTATGTTCAACTCAAAAGTCGATCTTGTCGGTTTTAGCAGAGGGGTACCTTTAAAACGCGCTTTCAAATAAAATAAACGCGTCTCGTTTCAACAAGTATTTCAACTTCGTTTAACAAACGTGTTCACAAAAAACATGTTTCTTGGGCTCTTTCATTGATTATTCTCTGACGCGTTTGGTAAAAATGCGCGTTTTATGACGCTTCTTTTCTTCAGGGATAAGTTGAAAGCTATCTGAACAGACTATTTCAATAAACGTACGAGGTGAAGAAGAATGTAACCTTTGGGGAAAAATTGAGGGATATTTCTTCATATAGAAAGACTGGCTTAAACCAATAAAGAATAATGAAAAGTGCAATTTCAGCTGGTTTTTGAGAAAAGGTGAAACTAGTTTGTTGTTATACATGATAATGTACACTACGATTTGTCAATTAAGCTATACCTTCGTCTGCAACATTTAGGCAGTTTGGATTATCAGAAGTCGCTTTTGTTGTAGTATTTGTTGATGGTATTGTAGTAGCTTCTGGTGATGGTGTTGTAGTAGCAGATTCTGGTGGACGATAAAATGACAGTCCGATGGATACAACTGCACATACAAGTAAAATAATTAACATCATATCATGTAAAGCTTCCCAACATAGCCGGAAAAAGTTTTTCATGGGTTTCGGTGGAATTTCATTTTTTCCATACACTTGTTGACGATTTTCAAAATCTTGTTTATTATCTGACTGTAATCCTTTTTGACCGTCTACTTTTAATTTTTCTAATAAACCTTTAATACCGCCATAACCAGAATTCAATTTCTCGGACAATTCTTTACCACTTAGTTTCATGAGTTCTTTCAGTTGGTCAACACTGATCTGATACTCGCCTGTATTGGCGCTACCACTATGACTATCATCTCCCCTATCGATTTTGGGGTCTTTTTTCTTTTTCAAGGATGACATCTAAAAGAGTAAACAAAAATAATATTAACTCGTTGACCACTTTCTCAACAGTTATTTGTCAATTTTTTCCATATATGTATATTATAATGTTTCAAAAAATAGAGCCTTAGATTGAACTAACTACAATCCTCACTCTCAGCGTGTAATATATATGATCAACTAGATACTTCTTGCTTCGAAACAGACATCAATTATAACGTACCAACAACAGAATATCGTTTTTTTTGCTTTATAAAGTATGCGAACAGGAAGTCATAAGTAAAATATTCTTTTCTCAACGAAAATTAAAAATTTTAACACAGTTCCCTTTGGAACATTCACAACTGAAAAGTTTCAAGCAGAGTAACTCATTCTTTCTCGCCGCTTTGCTTTTTATACCCACGTGTCATATAAATACCACATACTTTCAAGAAATGTTAAAAGTTGTTTATTTAGCCTATGGATAACTCTTTTGACCTGTGTAAGACAGAATAATCCCATTACATAAAATGACTCATTTCGGTGTGATATAGTCGATCCAACAACAACTACGTCCTTTAACGAAAAATAACCTTGTGCACTGAAAAACGCATTATCACGAATGAACTAAAAAAATTACACAGAAATTCTGATGTATTTAGATATTAATGACTGTTTTATCAGTACCCGTTGCATTGTTCTTACTACGTTTAATTTCAATACTCAATGTAGAGTACATTCACTAGAGTAGTGTATAGTAGGAACAAAATTGGATTCGCTTCTGCTTTTGATAATTTTTTATATTGAAACGTTGCCTTTTAACCCTTTCAGGACCGGTTTAATTTTTATATAAAAAGTGCTGTTCAAAAGTTGAAGACCTTTTTTATTTTGCAATATCTCGGCTTCCCTGACAGATAGAGACTTCATCCTTTTGTCAAAAGAAAGCTATCACTAA